TGACGAATTATGATAATAGGAATTAAACCATCGGATGTTGTTTCGGTTGATAAACTGAATTTCGTATGTAGAAGTGATGTGTGGAATTAGAAAGTTCCAGGTTATCATACGATTCAAATCGTTTCTCATTATATCACTCACTTGTTGAAATAAATTTCGAGTGAAGATAATAAAAGCCAGTACTTGTTGACCAGTAATATTTATTACTGACCATCAAAAATGACCTGGATTATGTCAGTCAGGTTGCAACATGCACTTAGATATAAGCTGAAGAGTACTGCGTTATCTAGTACTTAGTAATTATCGAAGTATTGTTGGTAAAGTTGCAATTCGGTTACTATTTCGAGTAATGCAACTTAGTGGTTCCTTATTCTCAATATTAAATGATTGATTGGGATTGAGAGTAAACTATAATCTTAGGTTTTGAGTTGGCTGGCACTTGCCAATAAACTGTACTTGAAATCTTGAGGAGACTTATACTCCCTAAAAATCCTTCCTAAGTGTCCCAGTTATCTTTCTTTCAACAAGGTATTATTAACAACTGATTCTCTCTTCTAGCGAAAATCTGTTTTCAACATATCTGTTCTACACAGATAGCTCTATAACACAGTAAATTAACCTATCATGGAGATGAATGTTTATCAAACTGAACGCCCCTTAGTTCTTTTTCAGTAATATCATCTTTCAACCATTATTATTCAATTTGTTAATATTTTCAATCATCCTTATATTAGATTGTAACATTACTTATCCCTACTCATTTGACCAGGATTAAGTTATGATTGAAAAAATTCACGAATCGACAGTTCGTTTAGTTTTGTACCATTTCTTTAAAGTTATTAATTTCTGTCAAAGTTGATTATATTCACCCAGCTTGTTCGAATCTTCCCATTGATGTTTAGGACTGCAACTGGTCAGTCGTTAGTTGGCATATGTGCATACTGTGCGTATTGCCTCGATATAGTCTAAATTCACAAGCATGGTAAGCAAAGATGGATAGTGGCTAGCAGTGGAATCCGGGACGCGCGTTTCGTCCTATTTGGCCTCGAACTCAGTATTGTTCACTTCAAACGCCATCGCGTTATCCACTCGGCCACTGAGTCCTGATAGCTACATGCTTGTGCAATGGGGTGAAGTTTAAATTCACTTAGTATTGTTTGTTTGAATCTTCCCAAAGTTGATTATACTTCTTTTTCTTCCTATTTCTAAAATGTTTGCTTTTCTCATTTATTATTTATAAATATTTTTCATTAGATGAATGTTTACAAGTGTATGACTGTTTATTACATCACGATTTGCTGAAAATAATTTTACTAAAATTGCTGTTTTATTTACTAATTGATTTATGTGGAACTATTCACTGTGAGACAAATATTAACCAATTATGAACGAGCAATTTTTTTTTCTATCGAAACTAGCCAACTTTATCACTAATAAATCCAGTTTTCGTCAACTAAAGTACCATAATGTAGATTTACTAAAGGATGAACATAGACTATGAGGACACAAATGACGTTACGATCAATGGTCAAAATCAGCCTATCACAATAAAGCGAACATTCAATTGGCTGATGATGACTGTTACATCTAGTTAAATAACTCAATCCATTCCTGTTAAATCTGTAATGAAGTGTGATTTCTATAAACAACAAATTTATTTCGTCAGACAATAAAATAAAAATAAAAACACAATTTTTAAAGTAATTCACAGCTTTTTCAATGCTACTTCCTTCTGGAAAATGATAGTAGTGTATTTGAGATTACACTATTAAATCTATGAAGATTTTAAAAATTCCAAGCCCATATGTTTCTTAGAATTTGCCATTGTTTTATTGTAGTGCTTAATGAATTTAATACATTCCGAAATATAAAATCAACTCATGACAGTTAAGCAAATTTAAGGCTTGGTTACTTGTTGGTTCAGATTGTTATTATTACTAACATTATCTTGAAATGATATCAAATGTTTGTAGCCAGGGTAACATGGTTGGATGTAGTTAGTCATCAAAACTTGATGAACCAAAGTTTTGTACTAGTAGGCACTAGTCGACGACTAACCATATCTCCAGTGTTTGAGGTCACTTTCATAAAACATTATAATAACCTTACCTATAAGATCAAAATTAGTGTTAACAAATGATACCACTTCTCATTAAATATATGTCTAATTGAAGATAAAAATTCACAGTTCAGAAGAAAAAACATGTGAAATTTCATAGACGATAATGTTTTTCATACTTACCCAAAACTTTATCATGGTATTGAGGGGGTCTTTTCTATGTGAAACGTATCTGTGTAAACTAATTTTCCATCGAATGTCAACTAAAGTAATTATGTTTACCGTTTATTTCTTATCATACAGCCACCTCATGGCATAACGAATTCGATCAAATTTAGTTTGAGTAGGTTTGCATTTTAATTATTAATCTGTATAACTAAATAATTATTCTACAAATTATGCCTCACTGTCTATCTCTCATATAAAAATTGCCTTACAAGCAATGAACAGTAAGTAATGCACGGTAGATTTTATCTTATCTTTCATGACGTAGGTAACGCTAAGATTCCTTACAAAATAAAACGTGAAATCTCCACGGTTGAAAATAAGCACGCACAGATTGCTAAGAAGTCGAAATAACTTCTAGCTATTTCCGTGTTTGAAACAGTTTTTACGTTGATGATGACATCTCTAGATTTTTTTAAAGAAAGCTTGTATTACACTAGTCTTCAAAATAACCAACATTCTTGCTTTATAAATATATGCCTTCAGTTCAATATGCTCAAAATTCAAAGATATTTACCCCATGAAATTTACAGATAATGTTTCACAAGTTATTTGAAGATTATATACTCGATTTAATTCAAAATACGTCTCCAGGCAAATCAAAGAAATATCTTTGAAAAATAAACAGTTTAATAATCATTGCTCAAAAACAACATAGTGCTGTCTGTTTTAAAAAAATACATGTCAATGATTTATCTGTGAGAATTTCCTGATTTGAGCACGAACTTAAATATGTTTTACATTAAATAAACAAACTAACTTTAAGCAATCAAAAGGTCGCTTGAGGCATATATTTAATAGACGTTTACGTGACGTGGTAAAAATATTTTGTAAGTGTGGTACTGAGCTCTGAATTAATTAAAAGTGAATGAACTAGCCTCATCGTATAATACTTGTAGAAAACTGGAACAGAAAGTTTCTTAGAAATGGGTCTTTCTGTTGCTCGGAACAAGTGCTTTGTTTAAGATGAGATTATATTCTATGGACTAAAGGATTTTTACAGCTTAGGATTCTTGTTTGTGCTAGTCGACATTCTGAGGATATTTCTTTGAATATTGTGGGTGATATTATATCGAAGACTATCAACATGTTTCATTTTTCTTAGCGATTCTGACACTTGTGATTGAATACTAGTAACCTAAGAATGTCCTCTATTCTTAATGACTAAGTATCACACCCTTAATGTAGGACAGATTAAACTATTGCTCGGTACACTCGTATTTGACCAACAGATGGTTTAGTGTGTCTCACCACTTTAGTGGCTCGGGATCTGACTTTCATTTAAACGAGCAAATGAATGTTCCATGAATATAAATCTATTGTTCAGTTCGGTATAATACACCCAGGCTGACCCCGTTTCAGCGACGGTGGTAATAAGAAACAAAATAATGATTTAGTTGTATTAGTTTATTTCAGGCATTCGTTTACTCAGACGGACACTATAAATGAGGAGCGGGAAAGCTAGGCAAGGCGGAGAAGTCGTGATCACAAAACATCCTGAGAAAGCGTGACCCCTTATGTATAATCAGACAGAAATAAACTAAAAATATGTAATGAATGAGGTAAGCGATACTCACACATACTTTCACATAAAAACAGTTAAATTCAAGAGCGAATAATTGACAAGGTCAAAACATATGTGGATAATGACTCTAGAAGTATAGATTCATCTGTCTGTCCGAAAGTTGGAATAAGGCATGCGGGAATCTCATAGTATTAAATACTAGGAATAGTCTTACAGAATGTAAATTGCAAAAACGGAAGTCAGAAATAATGCAGTTAATTACATATTTATTATAATATTATTATTATTAAATATTAGCAGACATACATTTTACAGGGTTGTTATTAAAACAGTCAAATGTAATCTAAGTACAATCTAGGCAATATGTGTTGGTTATCCAATCAAAAGTCTTAAAGAAGGTAAAAACGAGTTATAGCTTATTTTAGATGACAAAAATTCAAGTTTACATTATATAGTTATAATATCTTTATATAATCCTTATACATTTTGTTCATACATTTTACTTACACTGATCTTCTTGTTTATGTACTATTGAAAACTATAGTGATTCTAAACAATATAATTCTACATTATGTTCTATTTTAACCTGTAAATTATTCCCCAAGTGAACTTAATTACTAGAGGTTGTAAACAATAAGCAAATTACAGTCTAATAATTTCTGAAACCAAAGTACCAACTTGATCAGACCAAGCGAATTATGATTTAAGCTATCGAAATTTCTGATCTCCAGTAATCGTTAATAATACAAACCTTATACTGGAAAAAAGTTAGGATATAATGAGGATGATTTCATATCACAAGTCATTTGATATTTTCAAACCAAGGAATTAGTTCCAAATAATCATATCATATTAATAAACTTTATAGTATCTGGCTGTAAAATATCTAGATTTATGATTGCTCAATTTCGTGGATTGGTTGAAGTTATATAATAACACCGTTGAAAGCTAGCCAGCTCAGTGGTCTAGTGGTCAAGCGTTCGCGCGCGAGACTGATGGGTCCTGGGTTCGAATCTGGCGAGGCGGGATCGAGGATGAGCACTGCTGAGGAGTCCCACGATAGGACGAAAAGGCCGTCCAGTGCTTCCAGGTTTTCCATGGTTGTCTAGCTTCAATTGACTCATGATTTCAACTATATATAAAACCGTATTTTTCAAATATCATTATCGAGTCATATGAAAACAGATTAAAAAAATGGAATCATTTAGAAAAACAAAGGGTTCTATACTATTTATATTGTATAAGTAGTAATTCATGAAATATTTATAATTTCAAATTTGATTTTTGTTGACGTAAATAATTTAATTCAGTTTGAAGTATTTTTAATTCTTTATTTTGTTCTTTAATTTTTTTCATGATATTTTGATGTTGAATTAATAGTTTATGTCGAAGTTGAGGATTATTGAGTTGATTATTTATCATATCTAAATACGAAAAATAGGAAACAATAACAAAAATTAATAAAACCATACTGTATTTTAGAGAAGAAAAAAAAGCCATCATACATTTAATGTATTAAGTAAACAGAGAGGAGTTTTGTAGAGATTGTAATAGTTTAATAGTTAAATTCATATGTCCTAGGTTTGAATCTCACAGGGTGGGATCGTGAATGAGCACTACTGAGGAGTCTTATGCTAGGATGAAACGGCCATCTAGTGCCTCCAGATTTTCCATGATGGTCTAGCTTCAATTAACTGTTAAATTATCAAGTAAATATTGACAGCAAATTTTGAGATATTAACTTGTTGGCTAAATACCTGTAAGTTGAAATAGTTATGAATTGTGGTTATTTTGGGGGATAAAAAAAACATATGAATAAATTAAATTAATGAAAAACTCTAATCAGAGAATATATACATAAATTAGAGATATTTTGTTTTTTTTTTTGCAATTTTTTGATCAGAAATGTCATTGAGCAGAAATTTTTGTTTGTACCGGTTGCTATTTCAAGTAACTCGATTTCATAATACTCTTTTTATCTCATGATAAATCTTTTTGGGTTTTTTAAAGAAATTTAACCTAAACTCATGTTGGTCACTGTTACCAGATATGTAACGATAGCCTACTGATGCCTGTTGACCCTGGTGGAATATAGGCCGATTTAATGTTAGGTAACATTTCTATTCAACATTTTGACTATTTTTAGTGACAATAGTACTCTGGATGCATTTAACAGTTGTATACCATTAACACCTGTATAAAGCAAATAAAACTTGACAGAAACGGTAATAGGTGGAATTGAATTGATTTAATTAATAGTAATTTTAAATACAAAAACATGTCGTTTTGTTAACATCATGAACGGAGAATGTAATAGTGATGAAAAAGGTGAGCTATCGCTTAGATGATAATATTGCTGATCCTGTCAAAATTGTCGAGTAATTATACTAACAGACGTGAATGAAATAATACACTCAAAATGTAAAAAAGAAATATTTTCTAAATATTAACAGTGTTACATTAATGAGGAAGAATGTATTTGTAAAATTTCAGCGAATGGATTTGAAGTAAGTCCAATGTTTCGCCTGGTAATCCGGTCTAAGCTTTTTAAAGGAATTATAATAAAACAACAAAATTATCGAATACAGATAGATACATAGTTCTCCGGTTAATTATATACTAAGTAGATCAACCAATCGTGTCAAAGATGTTTGAAGTAAGCATTCCGATGTAGTGTGTATGAGACAACTTTAACGAAAAGCGTGTTAAGATAACAGATTGTGTGTATTCGTAAGTGAATCTGAGGTATGAGAAGAAATTTCATTGACTATTTATAGCATCTGATCGGTGTACTTTTAAGAAAAATGTAATTTTTATATATGATATGAATTAAATATGTCACAACATGCATAAAATGAAGATAAATAAACAAAACAACTGATTAGAACTGTTGAATGTGATTGTTGTTATTCAAATAATACGAGATAAATAAATTGGATTAAGGAATTCACATTTGCTTATTAATTATTAGTTGCCATAGGACAACTAATTGTATTCCATCTCTTCTATTAATACTAATTAGATTTGTCTATATGTGTAGGGCTTAAGCTGTTGGTCCTTCTTTATAAGAATTAAAACCTTTTTGAATGATTCTTGTGCCATTGAAATCAATTGTATGACTCGATTCTACTGAGTGTAATGCTATCGCTGATTTGTTTTAGAGTTTTCTTACATCATCTGAGGATTTAGGAATGTAGTTTAAGTATAGTTTGTGTTCTCACATTCAGTTGTCTTGATGTTTCACCTACATATGTGGCATTACAATCACTACATTTGATTTCAAATTTAGACAAAAGTTCTTATATATTAAAATTTTTTTCTCTAGTGATTTCAACTGTTCATTGTTTCAGTTTATTTGTTGTCATACATAGTTGAAACAGGTCATAAGATTGATCTTAGCTGTAATGGTTTGGTACACCCTCTATATGCTCAAAAACAGTTTGTGCTCATCCTAAATGTACTCTGGAGTCATCGTTTTATTATTCAGTGTGGTGAGTTTCTAATTGTTTTTAACACTATTTTGTTTACTATCACCATTTCCTCTTACCTTACATTTGTCTAGTTAACTTTCTAATTCCTCATATATAAATATTCTTAACAAGTTTATGTATGATCAGAATGTTTGACATGTCTTGCGCTTATATATTACATAGTTCTGATAATTTTCGTCTTCTAATTATACTGACCAATTTTATCAGGGGAAGTAACTGTTTTAAATTTTTAATAGATTTATGGTATGTCAGTCATGCAAATCAAACAGACATTACTAACTATTTCGCTTAAGCCAAATGAAATTGTTAAATAACACACTTTTTTACGCGTACTCTTATCTTTCAAAAACCTAGTTAGTTCAGTCACATATATATATTATCAATACTGTTTTAGACTTTGGCAATCAGAAGCCCTAAGAATATCACACATGCCAAAATCCAGTTGAATATTTTTTCGGGGGTGATAATTGTTGAAAAAGTTGTTCAAACTTACTTTCTACGTTAATATTTGTGTTCCATCAAATAAACATCATTATATGATGTCCCCAAATTAATTCAAAAGATTTCCTTTAAAAATGTCATATGGTATGTGATAGCCTTAAAAGTTAGACAATTAATTAGTCGTGATAAATCAGTTTCGTATTTATCACGATATGTTGTTGATAAAAACGGTAGAAACGAAGCTATGGTACTTTTTATTTGTCGGCACATGAGTTCTGTATCCTGATTCAAATACTAATGAATCATGATAAGTATAGTTGTACAGGCAGTCATTTGTAAGTAAATACACAAATGTATTGAATTCGCTATGAAGAATAAACTATGTACTAAAGTTTAATCACTATACTATTTCTGACATCTCTTTTCTCCCCATCATGTTCCTTGAAAAATAATCATCTTCTTAGCCTGGGATCCATATTATTTTGTTCTCGTGAATGTAAACTAGAAAGATAAATTTTATTGTAATTATAATTCCACGATTTCAAAGATACTAATTCGATTATACACCTTTTATATTTGCATGAAGCAGATGTAACGTAGTTTCATATATTATAAGCAATTATTACCAGAACTTACGATTTTGTTCATGAATGAACTTCGTCTCATGTAAGACAACATTCAGTTCTTCTATTTCTTTCTTGGCCTTTTCATTCTCTTTCTTAAGTTTTTCATCTTGATATATTTCATAATGACGAAGACGAGCAAGTTTCTGAGCCATTGTTTTTTCGTGATTCTAATAAATAGTATTTATTATGAAATCATTATTTTTACTTTATGAACATTGAACAGTACTACAAATAGCCATCTTTAAACAACTATTCTATGAGATATAAAGAATTTTGACGGTACCTTGTGATATGTTTCTGTGGTTTGTAAGTTTGCACGGAATTAGAAATCATAATGTGAATCGTAAATGTCACAGAGGAATCTAAATTCATAATCATTTATACGATCATAAAGAACAAAATATTCACCAGACCAGGCGACCTGATAAGATAGTGTTTCTCTATGAAATTTGTGATCAGTTTCCAATGTGATGCAAGTAAAATGGGTTACAAGAGGAGGATAAGTTTACCTGAATGTAAAGGGTAGTTCTCTATGATTAATCTAAACAAGCTTGAACCCTTTATTTAAGGATTTCAGTTAAGAAAAGATAATGATAATTCAACTAGCACCTTTGTTTTCGATAATATCGTTTCCTGAGGATAAATAATTGTATGTACATGTATCTAGCACATTTAGTATTCTATCGAATAAAAGAACGGTGATGTCATTTCTGTTAACTTATTTAAAACATCTAATGGCAAATATTCCATATTCATGGTGATTGTCTGTAAAAGTGGAAACTTGGGGACGGTAATAATGTATGAAAGGTAGGAAATGGTTTTGTTGAAAGAACAGAGAAATATAAGTAAGCATACGAACGTTACACGTGTTATCGACACACATACAGTAAAATAAATATCAAAAGTGAGGCTATAATAACAGAAAGAGTGTACGTTAATGCGTTAAAAGTTTAAGCATTTATAGATCGATAATTCTTTAATCGTAAACAGACTAGTAAAAATGTTGAAAAAGCAAATTAACTTGTACTAACTCATGGTCACATTGACATATGTTCATTTTATTTTGTCTGATATTTATATTTAGCTTCACAGAGATATATAATCTGACTGGTATAATTGTGTCTAGTTTTACAGCGTGTTAGTTATTCCCCGTATGATCACTTTTTGAAATGATTATTGATTAAAAATAATTTTAAAAGAGCTTTTCCTTCATACTCCTGGAATTTTAAATCATTCACATCCAAATAACAAACATGAAGATAAAAGGTAATGCAGTAATTGTTGAAGAGTAATATTTCTAACTTCCATGTATCGACGTAAAAGTATATGCGTAATATTTAACAGATCTTCAGAACTGCAGAATTTCAATTTGTTCAGTTATGTCATCATTGAAAGTTGATTGCTAACTTCTGTTTCATTGATTCCTTAATTCATTTCATTTTATAAATAGTCCAAATCATTCATTGACAACGATAAAAATGCTACTGTAAATAAATATAGCAGCGGATATATGAAGTTTCTAACAGTAAACATCTTTAAAGTAATTTTGGATTTAATTGTGAATCTTTGATAATAAGCCACATATAAAAATTAAGGTATACCAGGATAATATTAAATACATAAGAGAATACAAGGATTCTTACTTCTTGTATCATTTGAATAGTACGTTCAGTATTTGTAATTTGTGTATTGATTAAAGAATCATAATCATTTGATTGAAGATACTAAAAATGAGAATTATTTGTATTATGTAAGTAAATCAGTTTAACTTACTTTTCGTATTTCGCTGGTTATTTTAAATCTTCGTATATCGCCTAACTTGGTTTGTAAATCTTCATAACGCATTAACATTTCACTTAGTTCCCTTTACATATACACGTATAATGTATGAGAATGAAGTGAAGATGAATAAAAACTCGGTAAGAATGATAATTATATGTTTTATATCAAATGTTTAATTGAAAGAAAATATCATACAAAATGAGTAAACTGAATGGTTCAATATTGTCAGAAAGTTCCGATAAACTCTATCCTTCCGTTTCGTCTAAGACAGCATATATGTATTTTCATTAATCTTACAAAAAACATACTGTAAAGCACAGTTTGAAATAATAAAAACATAATGTTTACTTGGAATTATAATTCATTTTCAACTCAATCAATTGAATCAGTATAAACACTTTCCTATAAGTTCCATGGTAAATACTAAAACGTTAGATCAAACGCTTGTGCAAACTTAGGATTGCTGAATAACAATTTTCAAAGAATTGTAAATCTGATTAGGGTTTTGTCAAGATTGTAGTAATTTAATAGTTGAATTTATGAATCGATTGAAGCTAGACCACCACGGAAAACCGAGAAGCACTGGAAGGCCGTTTTTCCATAGTACGGGACTCCTGGGCAGTGCGCACCCACGAACCTGCTCGCAGGATTCCAACCCAGGACCTTCGGTCTCTCGCGCGAACGCTCAAACACTAGACCACTAAGCCGATATTCAACGGCGTTAACGTCCAACTTCAACCAATCTACGAAACTGAGCCACCATCCGTCACTGTCTTCAGTAAGTTACTGCCTCACAACAGATACAGTTGAATTCCACCAGTGCTTCCAGGTTTTCCAAGGTGGTCTAGGCTTAATCGACTGATGAGTTCAATAATTATCTACAACAAAACAGTGCAACAAATATAATTCATCTGGTAATTATTATATACACATAATTCCCCCTGTTACTTTAAAGAGAGCAACAACGAAGATTGTTGCAGGATAATATGAATTCATTTTATTTCTTTAGGTTCTCATCAGCTGCTTACAACCTGTCGTATTTTAAAATCAACGTTATTATAAATATCGACATACTTACACATACGAGGGTGATTAAAGATGAATATGTGTATCATGATTTAGCGAAGATTCCGATCTAGTTAATAAGGTCATAAAATATTTTGTTTCGTATAAATAGCTTTTTTGGGGGGAGGGGAAAGTCCCAGAACATTGAAATAGTGATTAGGACTCATGGAGTTAACAAACATTAAATGATTGTGTAATGAAGCAACTGAAAACAGAATCATGGTAATAAAGAAAGATATGGATTGAAATTAGTCATCTATGAATTAGTTTAGATTCAAATGTGGTTACAACCAGAGATATTTTGTTTCTCAGGGTAGACATAAAAAATTTGTAGTTTCTTACCGCACTATTAACGATAGATTTTGAGGAAATATATACTCACTATGCTTAGATGTGCACTTTCATTCCATCCAAAAAATATAAAGATATAAAATCATGTGAAACGAATTATTTCTGGCAGTAACCACGGTCGAACTTGAATCCAAACTAGTGCTATCGGGATTGCTAAAGCTCATTGTTATTAAAGTGGGAGTCACTGAGTAAATTACTAGCTGTATTCTTCATCTTAAAACCGTAGTGATCGACGGTATCATTTTTGGGGAATAGATGGGGAAGGTGCATAAAACTGTTCATCAATTGAGGGGTTGGGTGTGCATCATAAATTTAAACCACTATTGTTCTAATGTTTATCGTTTCTCTCCGGATGTTATATCTGTATTTATATTTGAGAAAAAAAAGATGCATTTAGATATATTGAGCGTATATTTTGATTACACTTCAACTAATAACTCATTTTTTAATGTTTATGTTCATACCCTAAGAATTGATTGTAAAGGCTAAAAGAAGAAACTCACCATTTTTTTTTAAAGTAAACCCATAAATACTGTCCCCTGTTCGCTCAAAAACATTTTGTACTACACAGAACCTACTCTGAAAATAATGATTTATTTTGATATTCAGATTAGTGTGATTCATATTGTTTTTCCCTATTATCTTTATTTTTCTTATATACTAATTTGTCCATTATGACCTTTGTTTCCTTTACAAATATCTTAGTGAGTTGATATGTAATCAAAATGTTTCAAGTATACCGTTGTAGTCAAGTTGTTTTGATAAACTTTATCATTTCATTGAATTATCTAAATCCAACAATTGAAATATTTATACTTACCATTCAAGGTGATAAAATCGTTTTTTAAATTCTTTATTTCTTATCATATGTGATACTTTTGATTCCCCTAAGATAATTATTTGTTTATTCAATTCTTCAACTTGTTCTCGTTGTATCAATAATGCATCATCATAATCATGAAGTAAAGTGGATTGGTTAATATTAACTTCAACAAATCCTTGTTTGATTAATAATTGTAATTCTAAATCTGTTTGATTACGATTATAATCTTTTATTAAATTATTAAATTGACATTTTCTTTCTTCTAACAATTTATGTAATGATTGTAAGTCACGATCACGTTTCTAAAATGTAAATCCATCACAAAAGATGAACATATATGAGACTGAAAGATAGGAAATTATTAGTTTATTAAGATTAACCTTAACCTATGTACAAGTAATGTTTCTGTTAACCGCTAATTTGGATTTATAATAACAAAGCTTACTGGTAATGACAAGACAGATGATTGAATTAAATTAATTATAATACTTTTGACGTATACAAAGATCAAACTATTTACTTAAAAATATTCAGAAGGGGTATTTTTGTGGAGATTTTAGTAATTTTATGGTTGAAATCATGAGTCAATTGATCTTAAACCATCGTGGAAAACCTGGAAGCACTGGAAGGCCGTTCCGTCCTATTGTGGTACTCCTCAACAGTGCATATCCACGATCCCACCTCGCGAGATTTGAACCCAGGACCTATCAGTCCTAGTTCTAGTGAGAAGCAGTGACCAATGGAGTTCAACCAGATCTCCTGTGAAATAGTTACTCACTGAAGACAATGGTGGACAGTTACTCAATTTCTTGGATTGGTTGAAATTAGATATTAACACCGTTGGATGCCCGCTCAGTGGTCTAGGGGTTAAGCGCTCTGGCGCAAGACTGGTAGGTCCTGGGTTTGAGTCTCGCGAGGCGGGATCGTGAATGGGCACTGGTGAGGAATCCTACAACAAAACGAAACGGCTTTCCAGTGCTTTCAGGTTCTCCATGGTGGTCTAGCTTCAATGGACTCATGATTTAAACTTTAAAAAATATTTGTTATAAAATGCAACATACAATTAAAAGACAGTCTTCAATGTAAAATGATTTGTATGTGAAGTATATATTACTTTTACCTATACCACTATTAGAAATAGTTTTAACAATCCCTTTGTTAAAATTCTTAACTGAATTTCAATCGATCTTTTTTGGTGTCCGTCAGTTATATGCCGGTCGCTTCAACAAAACCATTGTGTTAAAAGGTTTTTAGAATAGATAGATTGTGTCTACTGGTAATATATCGGTTGTGGATTTCATTCTATACATGACTCGTAAGCCAGATGTAATTGATGTTTATATTGGGACTTGAACTCAGCGACTTTCTTTCAAAAGCCTAGTGTTATTCCCTCAGCTGTTGAATTTAGATAGTCACTAACTTAGTGAACCGGTATGAAATTTATATAATTATTAGGAAGGTTTGAACTGTCATGTTCTTGATTGCATTGACCGAATCTTGACCAGTTTTTGTTCGTAGGAACATCCAAATGACAAATCCAAAAGTTCAGTAACTTAAGTGAGTGAATGGAGAACAAACTATTAATTGACTCACACAATGCTAGAAGACTTACAGTCGTTATAAGAACGTTTTTATTGAATCAAAAACTATGAATGAACAACTAGTCAGTATCATGTAGTTTAAATTACCCATTCGGTAGTGGTCAGTCTCTAACGAGAACAATTAGTCAATTATTTCCATTTTCAAACAATAACTGGTGAGTAATTGATCTTAGCTAATCAAAATAGATGAATCCTAATATGAGTATCATATAATCTAAATAAATATAGTCATTAAACAAAAAAAGAAGAGTCACAATGACAATTAATACCGAATGTGTCTAGTAGCAGTCAAGTTGTACTTGGAACTTATTGATTACTCAAAGCTACATTCTTTTAAATTAACTAATTTTTAAAATGATATTCATCATGAGCATCAAACTGATGAAAATGCGACTGAATGGATTTCTGTATCAAATTTGAATTCACTCAACATGACCTTCCTAGACAGTACAGTGATCAAATCAAACCTTGCATCGAGGAAGTTCAATTATAAAATGTTACAAAATGAGCCGAAAACACTTTAAAATTGCATGAAGATGATTGCTAGTATTATCGAATAATATTAGTCGAATCCATTCCGAATTAATCTCCACAATGTTATCATTAGGTCGCTTGTTTACTCTTACCAGATTTGTCTTCGAATATGTATTTACTTAGAAGAACAGAGTGTTGTTTCAGCTACGCGATCCTATTAACATGGTTTAGTTGATCATCATGTAGGAAACCAATCTATGTTGAAGTTATGTAACGTTATGTTTGAGAACTAGTGATAATCATATAAACTACCAAAAAACTTACAAACCTTGACAAAGTTGTATCACGCTTTAAAATGATACACTATGCAGTGAAAAAGAATTTCTGTGAAAATAAAGCTGGTTATGGATCTTATCATAGTTTCCAGAATGTGTTTGCATAGATTACAAACCAATATCAAATGACAAGATGGAATACCTGAGTTGAATTTTCGTTTTCTTGTTTCTTTCAAGCAAATAACACAAAGAAACGCCTATCAATATAGCTGATTAAAATAATCTGCGAAATTCGCTTTCTAGTTCAGTCAATTAGTGATACTTTGTAGAACAGTATTTAGACGTTTCAAAACGTGCAAATACAGAATACATATACGCTGACCAAATCATAAAAGCATTTACAACTTTTGTGTCCTGAATAAAATCTCTGAGAAAAAGACAAATTGTGAGTTAAGGAAGCTTGCTTAAGTAGGCAAACATATTGACCAGCTAATCTACAAGTGGTTCATGTGGAAGTGATATTCATATTTATTAGTACATAAAACATCCTAGAGCACTAAATTACGCAGAAATTCAAGCTTACACGAATAAAATTTGTAACGTCATCTAGTTTTTGAGTGGCAAGTTTAATTTCCAACTCTTTGTTAATCTTCCGGCGTCTTGCTGCACACAACCTACTCCATAAAGCGTTATCACACCCAGGCTGCTGTTCATGTGAAGGGTCATTATCTAGTTCCACCAGACTTTCTTCTAGTAGGCTAGTTTGTTTGGTTGATTGAGATGATTGGCATATTTTTTCAATATATGGATTCAGTTGTTTAGAAGATTGTGTATCCTTTCCACTCTGATCAATCTTTTTCTCCAAAGGAGCTAAAAGGAAGTGTCTTTAAAAAAGATAATTTTACATAACAGTGGGTCTGATTTATTGTAGGTATCAAGTAAAAATAAAACATTCTTTTGACGGTTAAACGATAAATATTTCCCGAGTTAACTTCTATAAGATAATTAAGGTCTGTACTCGTCTTTAAGGCTGATCGATACTTACCACCCAAAAAACTTACTGACTGAAGTTGTACTCAAAATTCATTTATTTTAAATGACCTATGTAGAGACTGACATTCTAGTGGAACTTCATCAAAGTACTGGTGTGGTGTGTGCTACTTATGGGAAAGACATAAGTAGTATGTAGCGGGAATCAGAAGTGGAATGCTTACCAACAGAATATAGAAACAAAGAAAAGGTGATGGAAAACAGAAAGCAACCAGAATAACGACATGATTGAAAGGATGATGCAGTAGTTAAAGAGTAACTCAGGAAAGATATGAAAATGATGTATTAATTGTATGGTTTTCATATTTTGCATAGTCACTGTGTAATTTCGCTTGAATAATAAACTGGTTTTTGCCTCCATGTCTTCGCTCAGTACACTGATATCTTGAACCAGTCTAAAGTTTCAACGTCAAGAATTAAACACTGTGTCAAGGAAGTTACTTAACATGGAATGAAATTATAGTTTGTTTGTTGGAGAATTTCGGGAGCGTTAGCATAATACAGTAACTGTAAATTAATTTCGAATCAAACTTGTTAGCCTACATTACATTTCAAAAATAAGGTTCCACTGTGTATAAATTAATCTATGTCAATCAGTAAATGACATCAATTGAACATAAAGACTAATTATCTGGTATGTTTAAATAATACAACTAACGGCTATAAAGTTTCCTTTGTTAATTCATAAAGAGCTCCCTTAAAATTAATTAACAAACTCCTGAGTATCTTAGTAAGATGAAACAGCTGTTCAGCGCTTTCTGATTTTCGGTGGCTGTCTAACTAAGATCAATACGGGTTGTGAATAAATAAAATTTTAATATTTGTGTTATAAATAGTTTCTACTGAAGCGTTTTTGCTTACTTTGGACGTTTTTTATAAGCTTTGACAATAAAATCATATAAAACTCCATGTATATCACTAAATTCTTTTCGAAGATTTTTTTCCATTAATTTATCATCAGCAGATAATAGTTCAGTTTCTTCTTGAACCTGATCAAGTATTGATTTGGCTGTTTCTAAATTTTTAGTAATCTAACCATGAACAAAAGTACAAAAAAACTGTTTAGAAATTTTAAGATTTATTGTTAATAAATAAATGAATAAATAAGGAGGAAAATACTTATAAAACTACTTGGCATTCTTACAGATTCCAACCACAACAAACATCTCAGTTTCAAACTGGGAAAGATGGGAGGCTGAATAATTTGTGTAAGTTTTGGCGATTAGAGTCTCTCATTTGGTTTAATCTTTTTTTCATTGATCAGCAGATGGAGCTTTGAATTCAATAGTAATATGGATCACGTAAGTAAAACTTTAGACGTTTGAATTTGAAATTACGTCGTTTAGGACTACTAAATGAAGATTATGAAAGCCAATAATATGTGCAGCTGTATTTCACAAGTTGGTTAAAGCAAGTAAATATGCTTTACAGAAGTCATGAAGGTCTCGTGTTCGATATTCAATCAATTTACAGGTATTTTATCCAAAAATATATTACAATATATACATATTATGATTCGTTGTGTTAATTGATGCAAACTGATTAAAAGATTATCTTAATAAGCTTTAAAATGAAGGAGTTAACGTATTATTACTTCTCAAATTCATTTCGATTATAGTTACCAGTTGTTTGTCAGTCGTAAATTTTAAAAAAGTTGAGGTTTAATCAGAATTAAGTTGCTATTTGCTAAAAGTAAAGAAAACCGTCATTTTCGAGACTAATTGTTGGGAGTATGAAGCAATTTTGTATTATATATATACATGGTATAATCCAGTTTTTAAAAGCGACTATTTGTCGTTCTTCGTCATGCCAAAATATTCTCGATCAGTCATCCTCTTATAACATTCGATGGATAAATTTTACTCATATCTCTTCTCGTTTCTCTAAGAAACGCAAGGAGATGGGTTCACTCAAATTCTATGTTGATTAATCTTGTAATGGGTTTAAAAAGTTTAAAAAACGGATGAATACAACACGAAGTTAATACACATAATTCCTCAATTGAAACAGATTAAAAAAGGAAAATCCTTTGTAATATTTATGCAGCTAGAAGATTAGTGGTCTATAAATTAAATCAGATCACTAAATATGGTACCATAATGTGTTTTTGATAGAATAAAACAGAATTGGCCAATCAATACAAACGAATAATCCTTGGCATTTTAAGAAAACAATTATTCATATTTATTCGAGAGTTGATTTTATTTCATATCACGTAAGGATATCAATACTGAAAAGCTCACTTGTACTTCTTTCTTATATAATTCATTAATTGATTCTTTTAATTCATGTTCTTTATTAAGAAATTCCTCTTCAGTAAGCAACATCCATTTAAGCCTCCATATTTTTAATTCTTCTTGTAATATAGCCACTTGAACATGAAGCCATTTATTAAATAGAGAAGTTAGCTCCTCATCAAATTTTTCTTTAATTTCATCTATTTCATTGTAAATCTTTTTTAAATCACCTTCTAAAAACTGCATAAAAAAGCATTAAATTTTTTTGTGAATAAAACATTTTAAACTTTGTTCCAAAAAAATGAGGTCACTTAGTATTGTAAGATGATATTAAGCTCATAACAGATAGTAGGTTAAACAGTTATTTTATTAGTCTCGTCTTGCACTGAATGATGTTAGTAGGATGTATGACGGTCAGGAAGTTTATCCAACAACTATCTCTATTATATATGACCTAGTTAAAATAATTGCTATAAATTTTCTAGAAGGATGTGCTAATCATGTTTCATTGTAGATGACTTTGAACTGATGTTATAGCAACACTCCTATGATTAATTTCGATCACAGTTAACAGTTCTACTGTATGGGGTGGAGACGTGGAGAAATACGAAAGCCATTATCCAGAAGATACAGGTGTTCATCAACAGCTGTCTACGCAAAATACTTCGGATCCGATGGCCAGACACTATCAGCAATAAGTTACTGTGGGAGACAACAAACCAGATTCCAGCGGATGAAGAAATCAGGAGAAAGCGCTGGAAGTGGATTGGGCACACCTTGAGGAAATCAGCTAATTGCGTCACAAGACAAGCCCTCACATGGAATCCTGAAGGTCAAAGGAGAAGAGGAAGACCAAAGAACACATTACGCCGAGAAATAGAGACAGACATGAGAAGAATGAACAAGAACTGGATAGAACTAGAAAAGGAAGCCCAGGACAGAGTGGGTTGGAGAAAGCTGGTCGGCGGCCTATGCTCCATTGGGAGTAACAGGCGTAAGTAAGTAAGTAAGTAAGTTCAGTTAACTTTTGTCAAGTCCTTTAATTAACTTATTTCACAGACAGTGTTATTACTACGATCACTATCATGTCTGTATAAACGCGTATGCTTGATCACATGTAACAGCCTACGCATATATTCCCCACTCTGTCTTAAATGTTAATTACTTAAATATCGCCTGATGAATCATTTTCCTTCCTTCCCCTCCTTACTTTGCTTCGCCACGATTATTTTTGATTCAGAATTCGCCTCTATTTTCGCTCATTAGAGCGCATGAGACCTTATGCTCTAAATCGTTCGATGTACTAATAACTTTGTTATCGGTGTTGTCCAATAATAAACTGTAGTCGCCGCTACTTATTGCCTTATGAATTCAAACACCATTGGGATTTACGTAATAACAGTTATCAAGGTGATTAATAAACGAAACCTAACAAATTATCTCGAAGCCAAGACATTACAATGTCCATTTTGTGTCTGTAGAATTAATGCTAGGCTAGTCAATTACATTTAGTGAAAATATTTATATAAATGGCATAATAATCTTTTGAGAAATTTCATCTCGCGAAGCGGGATCGTGGATGCGCACTGTTGAGGAGTCCCACAATAGGACGAAACGGCCATCCAGTGCCTCCAGGTTTTCCATGGTGGTCTAGCTTCAATTGACTCATGATTTCAACTATATGTAAAAAAGACAGTATTGTTTGTTAGATATTTACAACCAAACATTTGTGGACATTATCAGACTTTTTATGTAAAAATTCAATAGTTAATGATTAGGAATACATTGAAAAGAGAAAAGACAACTAGATATACACATGTACAAATTACAAAACAAAATATTGAATAAATGAATTTATAATCATTATGAATAATTGATACTGATTTGTCTATGTGACCAAAAATGTGATTTATAATTGCCGTATTATTTTATTGAGAATTAAGATAAAACTATTTATACTCTTTCTTTGATTACACTTTTTTGTGTATAACTGAGGTATTAGGTAAAGTTAGCAAAGAAAACTTAACTTATATTATTTGATCTTACTCTTCTTTTTTTTTACAAACAAGAAATCATATCATTAAATGATTAGATACCGAACATTTTGATACAGGTAAATGTAAATGAAATTAATAATGAAATCATAATATTACCCTATTGATAATGATTGTCATCATTTTGAAAAGTTTACAGAAAGATGAAATAATTAGCTAAGCATGTTTAACAAAAAACAAAATGTCTGTTACTAGTATACACAATAAAAGTGATTGCCAAGAGAATTAATAATGCAAGTTTTAATCATCTCAGCCAAATAGAGCACAAAAGCACCATGAGTTGTTATCCGTGTGATTAAAGCTTTAACATGGAATGTGCATATATATATATATATATATATATATAGAGAGAGAGAGAGAGAGAGGGAGAGAGAGGAAGAAAGAAAGGATAGTAAATAACACGAACTCTGAGATTATATGAGGATTGTGACAGTGACTTTAAATTATGACAAATCCGTAACCACGTAGGGGCCAAAATCATAATTGTCTAGTCCTCTAGTAATGATTGAATTCTATCAATCCCGTCACAATGTGGCCATCTACCATCAGATCATAGTGCACTTGATCGACAGAAGTCAAATAGCACTAAAAAATTAGAAATACATGGAACAGTCGCTATTCATCTATTAATGAACTGTAAATGTTTCAGTCCTAAAGAGAATCATTCCCTGACCGAATAGCTCAGTGGTAGAGTTTCAAACGGTAAAGCTACGAAAATTTGATTAGAATCCTCTGGAGAACGCTATTTCCCTCAAGATCTTAGGTACGTATTTCTGACTAATGTCAACTGACATGAAACCTAGGTACGATGTATCCTGATGATTATTTTCAACCATCAGTCATCGATAAATTTTGATTGCATGAGATTGATACACTTATAGTTTTATTGAATTGTGTTTCTTTTTTTTCATTAACTTAAAAGACAATCCAACCTTTTTATATTTTTCTCTTTCTTCATTTAATTCTTTTACTTTACGTTCATATTCTGCATACATTTGTTTATCATCCTCCGTCCAATTAACTGATGGTTTACCAGTTAATAAAAACGCTGGTTTTGGGATATCCTTCTTCAATTCATCTTCTTTTGTAATCTCTAACACACCACCCATCATTTCTTCCAAACCTTTTTCACGCCAATTATCCAACTTTTCCTTACGTCGTCTTTCTTCGTCAGCTAATCGTTTCGATTGAATTTCAGCTAACTTCTCAGGTGAAAAATACTTTTCCACTGTTATCTCATCATCTGTAACAATAAATAGCTGTTCTGGTTCTTCATCAGGATCAAATTTCGGATTAGTGAGATGTTTTAGTAAATGTGGTTGTTGAAGATCCGTATAAATTTTACGTATTCTTGATAATTTGGTCTGAATGTTAGCAAGATGACTTGCCTTCTTTTCATAGACTTCATCGAACTGTTTGTTGAAAGATTCTTTCATACGATAAATTGCATTCTAAAAGTTCATCATTAATTTTAAATATTTATAATTAAAAAGAGTAATTTAGTTAGATAAATTATTTTTATAAAATCAGAAATTAATCAGATATAGCTATTAAAAATACAAGTGCCTATCTACGGCTTGACTGTCAATTTAGATAAGTATTGGTGACATAAATCATTATTTAAATGAATTCGGATGTTTAGTCAACCAATCGTTTGAAACATTTAGGTTGTTGAAGATAATCCTAAATTATCGTTCATTAAATCTTCATATTCATTTTGAAACATTGCTTAAGAAGTTTTCAAACTTTTGTCTTAACACTGTAAGTCATAGTACATAGGATTTTGATGATCATCTCAAATCGAATTCATCGCACAATAATTACCTTCTGAACCCCAAAGTGCATATTATTGATCGACTTATTCTGATAATCTAATATTGTTAAATAACTAGCTTAAATTCTAGGTATATGGATACCAGGTGTTATTTTACAAAAGATAAAGGATAAAACGGTATACTTCACCACGTAGATGGACAATAAAATCGGCCATAATATTAAGAGTTTATCCATATTGGATAGTTCTAAATCACTCCTTATTTCAAGTGTATTCTGCAGTCATATGTCGAACCCATAACGCAACTAAAAATCTGATATTTATTACAAAAACCTTATGATAAATACTTTGCAAACGCAATCGTTAAATTTTTAATCTAAACATTTTTGAAATTGGAAAATAGGTTCACCGAAAACCATGCCCATGTCTTAAGCTTCTGACAAAATGACTACCGATCACTAGACTGTTAAGATTAGAATTTCTAAAATCCATCTGGATGATTCAGATAAAGTGAGTGAGTATAACAATTGGTTCGTATAAAGTTCACCTCAAACTAAGAAAATTGACTTTTGGGTTAACCTATCAAAAGTTGCTTAGATTATTTACCGTTCTATAATCCACATAAACAGATTTCATCACTTTCATCTTGTACAAACAACGAATTAAAATTAAAAAATTATTTTTTTACAGAATTAATAAAGTTTCAAGTTTATTTTTGATATGTTGATGAAACTAAATATCTGTAGACGCGAATTTAACTACTTCGTTGGTGTTTATACTTACTTTTACCAAAACAATTTGATAGATCTTTTGCATTCGTGTATAAAGATCCATTTGACCATAACCATGATCAATCGATCCACCATGTTCTCTGGCTGAAATACAAACAATGATAGTCAAATTAAAAATAAAATCCAGTTTGAAAATAACATTATCGTTCTAGTGAATATTATTACCAGCAAAGATGGATAGTGGCTAGCAGTGGAATCCAATACGCGCGTCTCGTCCTATTTGGGACTCGTCAGCTGAATGTACCTGCATCTCAGAGTTGACATTCATTTCGGGACTCGAACCCAGCACCTGTCGCTTCAAACGCCATCGCGTTATCCACTTAAAACGAAAGGCACGTCCTGGATTCCACTGCTAGCCACTATCCATCTTTGCTTATAATGCTTGTGAATTAAGGCAATATCGAGGCCATACGCACAGTATGCACATATGCCAATAAGAGACTGACCAGTTGCAGTTCTGAGCATCAATAGAACGATTCAAGCAAACAATAATAAGTGAATTCATTAATATTACCTTTTAAGGGAAAATCATTCTAAGGAAAACATATCCAAATCTCTCTTATTATTTAATTTTAGTTCTGTGTTATCTTAAAAGCATAAATTTTGTAACCTTATTAACAATTAATACTATATTTGCTATCAGGAGTAATTTATACTATTCAAGGATTTAGAGATCAGTAGCTACATTGTTTATTGATCAGTTTGGCATCAATAATTTTTTCAAATTAGAGTTAAATGAGTAAAACAAGATAGTCAAATGAATAGAAGAACAGACTAAAATGAAAAACATCCATTTACCATTGCAAAACACAGTCGGAACAGTTCCTAAGACTGATTTCACTAGCCTTTGAGATTTGTTTGTCAGTTCTCTAGGGTGAATACTTAGATTTCTTGAAGCCTTAGCCATAAGAAAGTTGAAACACCACGTACATTCAAATGCAATTTGTTTTTCTAATAAATCTGCCCTGGTGATAATGGTTTAATGTAATATCCCGAGTGGTGTAATTCATAATGTTTTCCTAGTGTCTCAGTTTGTCAAGTCTGACCTTGATTTTTTGTATAAATAACCTAGAAAAATTAATGTGTTATCAGATTGTTCGGAATGTGTTGTCCTCGTAAATCATGTCGTTCTGATAAACTTCATCCTCTCATTGAATTACCTAGGTTACTAAAGAAACTTTATTATTTTTATTAAACTGTTGATCAATAAAACTAATAATTTGCAGTTACCCAAGTGGTTCATGAATACCTTTTATGAAGTACAAAAACTATTTCTTTCTCACTTAGTTTAACCTTTTTATGAGAAGTCATTCTTCAGTTTTTATGTTCTTTTTAAACCTGATTATATTGTTGGTAGGGTTTATTAATCTTTGTTAGATTGTGACTTCTCTGTAAAGCTTTTAGTTCAGGAGAAGTCTGATGTGCAATTATTTTAAAACTAAGTTATAAACCATAATTAATAAAATACATATTGAGGAAAATATTGTGCTCGAACTTTATAACAGAGTTGAACACTACCAGGACTTAATTAATCTTATGTAATCCAAGTTCTCGAACAATTGATTTTTGCTACTTCAGATACTAGTTAATTTTGTATTTGCTGATGAAATTTGTCTTCATATATAAACAGCATTAAGCTTTTTCTGTATATTGTAAACATTTCAATTTTCCGCAAATAATATCTTAAATGATATAAGTTAAAAAAAGTGAGATAATGAAACACATTTGAACACTTTCATTTAAACAGTGGTTCTTGTTTCATAAATAAATTATGTGTGGACAATTTAACTGAATTTTAAACATAATCACTAAATTCTAACATTAATGCAAAGTGATTTAGATTTTCATGTTGTTTGACTTCCTAACACATCAAACGAGTAAATATTAGCATTGAAAATATTTATTCATACTTTATTTGTTTCAAATATAATTAAAAAAGTGTTAACTAAGGATGAAGATAGCTATCCCATTGGAAACCTATCTGCTTAGAATTCACACGTACCAGTACTTCCAACAAGAATCCGATTTGTTGATTGCTCTGGTTCCTCTTCCTCATCTACTTCCTCCTTTTGTTCTTGACTGGGCTTCAGTTAATATAGGTAAAGAAATAAAATCATTAAATTTATTTTTTGACTGCTTTTTGGTGTTATTCAGTCTACCGGTTAACATTATAACCCATGACCAGGTACTAGATACGTATCTATTAACTAAGAAGTCTTTGCTTCTTTCTATGTGTGATCATATAACGTTTAATAGACGAAAATTTGTTTTGTAAACAGTTAAATTTTGTTTAATAATGGATTATGGTGAGAACACGAACTTCCCGAAAACAAAGCATAATTAAACGGGTTTCCTTTGATTGGTCACTATGAAGTCTTTTATATAGACTCTACGAAAGGACAAGTATGATTACCCGCAAATGAGAGAAATAGACTGGCAGATACAAATTTATCTGACACCGAAAATAGACCAGAAACCATATTTTGGTACACTGATTTTTACGGTGTTATGTATACTAAATACCAATCAGATTTGCAATAGATTTAAGGGGAGTAGAACCCGTTACAAAATTAATCAGTGACTCGTTGTATTGAGTTAACTTAATGTCGTAGGATTTAGGTGTACAGTAGAAACTGGTCATTGAATTACATGCTTATCCTCTTTACTAACAACTCCATCATTTTATCGTTCATGGTAAAGTAATATTATCTGCTATCAGATGACATATATCTGAAATGGGATCCAGAGTGTCAAACCTTAAGAGGCTTCTGAATAATAGCATCTTTCAACGAATACTAAAAACAAGTGTTTTCGAGGTAGCCTATTAAAAACCGAACAAACTTAGTGACTTATAATTATTAATCATACTTAACTTCTACTACTGATTGTTTGTTATATACACTATTGATTGCCCATTCTTATGTTATAATCTAGCTACTCAGAAGAATTCATATGTTTGGTAGGACCAATGCTGATTCTGCTTTCGTGATTGTCATTTCTTTACTAGGAATTCATGAACTTCCATTAATCGGCCACCACAGAAAGTGAGAATTAGAAGAATCAACATTGGGAAGACATTTATTTCCGGCCACAATGAATGCTATTAGTTTAGTTTCAACCTGACACAATATGGTAGTTTCAGTAATTTACAATATAATAATGCAGGTTAGAAGATGGACTAATTGAAAATGATTTACTATGGGTAGGCTGAATATGAGATATGCGTACGACGTCATTCGCTTTATGACCTAGTGCGGTTATAACACAAAACATCTAAACTAAATAAACTAAATAAAAAAATTGAGACTAAATATAACTGTTGTTGAACAAAAGAATACTTATTTATGTTAAAGTGACATATTAATAGTATAATGATCAAATGTATATTACTGAAATCTATAAAATGATGTATAAGTCAAATATTTAAGTCCTGTGAAATGTGGATAAAGTAAAAAGGTTATCTAAAAGTTATAACAATAATAATTCTAAGTGAATGGAGAGATGGGTGGTGGATTTACAGTAAACCCTATGTTCATAATATTCTGATTTGTAAGACAATGAACCTCGTACGTTTCGCTTGCTTCTCCAGTTTTGAGATAGTGGAGATTTTGATGAAGTTTTGTTCTTTGAGTTGGATGGTTTGGTCGTGGAGCTTTCATCGTCCTTCTGAACGACATCATCAGCACAAACTCCGGGTAGAAGTTAAGTGTTTAAATTTCTCCACATGTGATTCACAGCTTGTTCTGTACACCTCGATGTTGAATGGTTCTTGCTGACCTTAAATCTGTCATTGTTTATTTCTTTATTTTGGTTGTATCCCATTGAGTTGATGTTTGTTCCTATGTTCCGATGCTTCTCCAGTTCTCATTAGTAAACTCAAACTAAGTGTATCATTGTAAATTTTAAAATGGGAAGTTTCCTTCCAAAATTATGAAGTGTCATGGAGTATTATTAAGTTTTACAAAGAGTTTTTTTTACAGTTTACCAATTAAAATTACTTTAGGTAATCTAATGACTACAAAAAAACTATTGAATGAAACTAACCTTTTTTGATATATTTGATTGAAATAAATGTGAAGACAATAATTCTCTTTCTTTTGCTGTTGTATGAATAATTTTCATTCTAGCAACAACAGTATTAATTAATTGCTTTTCACTGTTTGTAATATTCTTCAATGGATAATTTGAAACTTTAATTGGTAAATTGAACGCTTTTAAGCATCTTCCCTTGACAAACATTTCATCCCAACATTGAGATTTAATAGCTCGCCAAGTAAATTGTTTTGCTAAATCTTTTAATTTTATTTCTTTTCGGAGCTTATTATAAAAGAAAGATAAGTACATTTAATGCGAAGATGAAAATATGAACTATAAACAGATATTTGATTAAAATCGAGAGAAGGTGAAAAAGATATTTGTATCTGAAAAGATTTCGGGACAATTCTGTACCAACGTCATGCACAATGACTGATTTTTGTACTTTAATTCTCTAATCCGAACCAATCCAGGTGAATTAATGTTTAGTCTACATTCAAAAGACAGTGTTACATAGCTGTGGACTATTGATAATGTTACAATTTCTAATATGTTTAATGAAAAAGCATGTAATTTTTCCGTTAGTTTCACCTAGTTCTTCTATCTTACCCTTAACCTGGAACCTCGGAAACACCGATTTTGCGTCTATGAATAAATTAATATATAAGAAAGATAAATAAGACTATAAATTAAAACAATTTCGTGCATACTTTTTCTACTAACCTGGTTGACTTCTTCCTTTGTTTTCTCTAAAATGACATTTTGTTCATCAATATCTAGCTCAAATTCTAACCTGTCAATACGTTGAAATTCAGGAAGATTTTCGTTTTCACTGACCATAGAATTGACCTATGTTGTGTTTCATAAAAAAAAATCAATAATCAGGAAACTTGAAATAATAGTGATCTATGTTAAAAATTATAGATCTATATTTCACTGAGCTACAGTAATAAAGCAATAGTTATCAGAACTTTTACGAATTTCAGTTCAAACAGGTTATGCGAATTTACATCAGTATTTCATAATATTAGATACAGCCAACACTAAATTTCTCCCTATTGAAATGAATCTTTGAGTAAAATCAGTTTCTAAAGAAAAAGCACTATGAGGATCATCAGAAATTCCTATTTCGTTAGTCCAAATGATCTTAAGGCTGATACCTTATATATATATATATGACAAATCTTACTGTATTTCTGATTTCATTCAATTCATTAAGAATACTTGTCTTCGTTTCGCCATAAATCAAGTCTTCTGAAGCTTCAGCATTAAGCTGACAAAATTCTATCCATGTATTTACATTTGAGTCAGTATCAATTTTACAATAGGAAGACTCTTCTAAATCTGTATCTTCATCGGCATTTACCGATATTTGTTGATCATATAATGAAAGGCTTGTACCAGATTGATGGGGTAATATTGGTGGAACATCAGTTTTTTGTAAAATATTGACATTTAAATTTGATTGATTTTGTGTTATCTCACAACTTTTCATTTCTTGTAATTTAGTTAGTTGTTCATGTAAAGATCTTAAACTTGGAAATGAACTGACTTTCGATTCCGTAATTGCACCTTCCCTGAAATACAAAATATTCAAGAAAATTGAAGTGAACATTTGACTTTCAGAATATTATTTCGAAGTTACTGACAAAAATAAATGACAATGAAAAATGCCAAACTGAGCCTTTACAAAAAAAGAAACCACAATTAAATATACAAATGAGATGTTATTTGTATCACTAATTAGATATTGTTAAATTCTGTATCCTCAAATCGTTCTATTTAATCATAGATAAGAATATAGTGAACATTCACTAAACATCTACTTTAGGTTGTTTATCAACTATTTTATCATCGCAATAGATTACGATTAATTAATCATATATTAATTTTCAATAAAACAAACGGAAAAGTGCTTTTGTGAATTTATTTCATTCATTAAGGTAGCCGCAGAGAGCAGAAAAAAGTAATACACATCTCTCTCAAAACACTTCTGAAAGAACAACTGGTTTATCGCTCTTCATATCAAACGCACTTGGAAGATCGTTAAAATATCCATGGAAAACGAAGAAAGAGAAAGTAATAAATGGTTACAGAAAGAGAAATTCAGTATCCAGATAGGTTTTAGTCGAGAGGTACATTTTTAATGTCCAAAATTATATGGTCTATTATGAAAGTTAACACTTTTAAAATCCCACAGTTATACGATTATTAACTTCATACTGACATGAAACTAACTAATTATCAATACCAGTCGGAAAAAAATTCGACCATCAAAACCAACTACGAGATCCAAGATAGATCTGATATCAAAAATTACTAAAAATTGTTCCCATTTTTGATTGAACGCTTGAACCGTATTAATGTCATCGTTCAGGAAACAGATGCATTTCTACTGAAGCATGTAGAAAAAGAAACTGAGTTACCTAATTTTAATACAATTGAATGGTGATGTCAATGCCATTTAGTTTGATAATGACTGGAATAAAAGTTTCGGCATTCATAATAGGTAGGTAAGTAGTGACATATTACTTGACTGAACTAGAAACATCAACAGACAGTAGTTTGTTGAAGATATTAGTTTATATCTAAGAGTTTATAAAATATTTAACAAAACTAATTTGGATTATATATCATATTTCATTAGTCTTTCAAATCATTGAATGAATGAAATGAGCTGAATCGTGGAATACCTAACTTATTAATGTAAAATTCATTTGTTGAAATTGATTCCTAACTTAATACTTACATTGTATAAAACATATGATAATATATTATACGAAAATAGATTCCTTACATGCAGTGTAAAAGTAAATTCATCATATGAAAGATCATTTAGGTAAACAAAATAAATGTAAAGTCTTGATTTCCAAAACTTACCTTATTTTAACTTTTGCTAATAAACCATCTCCACCACATGTGATTAAACTATTCAAATCTTTACAGAATTCTGCAGCGATTATACCACGTGAATTAGATTCATGAATATTTATGGAATACTGAAGTGAAACCTTATAAACATGGATAGAAAACAATATGAACAGAAAAAGTACACTTTCATCAGGGGTTTGGCAAAATGATGTGGTAAAACTAACCAACTCAGTAGTATGAAACTTTAAAATTAAATAGACAAACTGTAGGTTAAACAATTTATTTAAAGTAGTTGATGTTTTGACCTGTGTGATAAATGACAGTCATTTATCTTGTTGGTTACTGAATAGTGCTTCTGGAAAACTTATAACTGATATTTGCCTTGCTTTCATAATATCTTCAATGCAGTACGAAATACTTTACAATACAATATGTTCAAAGTGAAAAAAACACAGCATACTTAATAGACCTATGATGAAACTGATTGGGGTTCGCTTAACGAAAATGCATTGATATAATTATATTTATCAGCATAGGGTTGTGGAGATTGTTGGGCTTCATTGAAATCATGAAGCGATTAATGTCAAACTACCACTGAAAATCTGGAAGCACTGACCGGGCGTTTTGTTCTAGTATGGAACTACTCAGCAGTGTGCATCCATTATAGCGTACGTAGGTATGAAAGCCAAAACCTCTGGTTTCGCGAGGGAACGCTTAAACTCTACACAACTGGGCTGACATCTAACGGTGTTAACTTCTAACCTGAATTAGGCCATAATATTGTAGGATTGACTTAGTTGATTGCAATACTGAGGCAATCCGCTCATAATGCATATATTCCAATTGCAGTTATTTACATCATTAACCGGAGGATTCAAGCCCTTAAAATAAAACAAAGTCCATCCCCGTTTTACAAGCCAGTGACCATCACTACTTAGTAACAAAGTGAAAAACACATTGAGAATTTGAAAAGATAAGTAGTGGAATCAAATCCCGGTATAAACATCAAAACTAAGAAGTAAGTTTATCCAGCTGATGAAACCCAAATAGGATTAAATTCGCATCTTGGATTCCACCTACAGTTACTATCAAACCTTGACTACTAAATCTTCTATTTTTCGGTAGTTTTGAATAAAAGTCAATATAGTATTAAATATCTTACAGTTTCATTTATGTTAATAATTTGAACAGATCCATCCATAGAATAAGCTAGTAATGAATTAGTACCAGATATTCTTGTAAATTTGATGTTTTTTGATTCTTGTAAAATGTTATAATTATACTCCGTGGTAATATGTAATTGATGTTGTTTCTAGTAAAGAAAACAAATGAAAACATACAAACTAATTATTCAATAGAGAAAATATCTGTAATACATATTGTATACCATATTTTTTAAATGTCATAAATTTGCTTCTGTATATATTTCAGAAGAGTTTATAAATAACTGATTGATTTCAATTTATAATCCCGTTTAACACATTTATGATTTGGCCAACAAAGTTAATTGCCATGTTATACGACTTTTCTGTTCTAAAGTTTTAAACATTTTATGTATCTGCATACTGTAATAATGGCGCTTAAAAATAAAAGCTATAGTGTTTACCTTTTTGATCTGCTTAAATAGTACACCTGAGTTATAGTGGTGACTTTAATAAACATGAAGATATAACGTCGTTTCTAATCTATATGCGTCTCAGAAACATATTTAAGTAATTATGCTGAATCGGACTAAATATTTACAAGTGTTCAATAATTTCGAGTGATAACTTTCATAATATTCATATAGCTTATAATTCATTATCAAATACCTTTTGTGATTCATCGATACAAAATATTTCCAATGCATGATACTGAGAATCAGCTGCAATTATTAATGGTGATGTTGATTCATATACATCATTTGATGGCCAATAGCAGACACCAACCTTTGGTCTGTGAAAATTCCATTTAATAAGGTTAATTTTATCTTCATTTAGTTTTCGATAATTATCAACATAGTCTACTTGATTATCTAAAAACCGAACAGAAAATATCTTATTATGATAGACTTGGTATCATTCAACAAAGGAAAAATGAATGAGCATATCAATAAGTTTTCTCAAAAAAACTATGTTTGATCCTTAATATTACATTCATGAGAACCATGAAATTTAGTCATCGACAGAAATATTATGTGAAGGGAGTCCGAATCCTTCTTGATAAGGTTGATAATTAGTTAAATAATTTATATCAGTAAATTCGATTAAAACCAATTTTGAGTTTGTTTTAACGTATCTTTCAGACTCAGAAAAGTATTCATTTAACAACCAAGTAGACTGAATAAATTGAAAACCACAAAGTATAGGAAATAGGTTTTGATCCCTACATTTCACAAAGATAAAGTGCGGAAGCTATTCATTTTTGTTTCTCATAAATAATTAGCATGAGATATCTACTTCACGAAGTTAAGGTTACATTGGTTACAAAAATAGCCTATTCACGGATTACTCTCTTTGACTTACTGCTTCCAATTTCAGCCGGTATTTCGTACTGGTATACAGCCTCAGCACTTTTGTTGATATCATTACTAACAGCAAGAAGAACAAAGATTTTCGATGAATCTTTTGATCGAATCATGCTTAAATTATGCACTCTACCAATAAATGCTACAAATTATGAAAAAGAATATGTTGAAAATTATTTTGATAAATAGTTTACAAAAGTATAGGTAAACTTTAAGGTCTCTGATTTCAACCAATAAATTAAAGTAGACTTATGAAAAAGTTGTTAAAAATCTAGGAAACTTGAATAAACATGAATTAAATAAGTACTATGGTACTAGTGTAGGAACTAGATAAGTCTTTTATGTCAAGGCCAAATCAGTAATTAATGGTTCATTTCTTACCTGACATTTTTATGATATTTCCAAATTTGTAAGTGTTATTGAAGAAATTCTCTATTGAATTGTAAACATAGGGAATTTTGTTTTTAACAATTATCATAAACCAGATATAAATACCTTTTTAAAGAATTATAACTACACAATCAGAAACCTTGAAATATTAGGCAGTGAAGACTCCATCCTGTCAATAGAATATACTTTAAACAACCCCTGATTACAATTATATAGATCATAGGGTAATATATATATGGTACAAACAAAAAGGATGTCCAAGTGTGCCCATTAAACAGTGTGTTGAAGCTACTTTTTTAATAAAAGTTGCCTTGTCACTTACAAAACTGAAATATTTGACTTTTAATACAGTCTATGAACCTTAAATCAAGTTTAGTCTGCAGTTTTGTAGTTTTCCATTATAAAATTTGACAACCACACAATCATAAAGTAAATTTATCAGAGAGAATGAAATGGGTATATATCCTTAATGTAGGTGAACTTACAGTTTATTAGGTTCCCTCTAATTAACATCGTAAACAAATCATTTCGAAATAATGATGACAAATTTTTCCTTGACTAGTAAGGTAAAAAGAGTCATCCATACACGCCTTCATCAAAATGATAAGGTACAAAAAGTGAAATTGAAAGCTTCCGATCCTGCTTATTCTTAAGGCAATAAAATAGTTTTTTAAACTGTATGGAATACTAAGTAAGAGCAAATGATTTCGATTACAGCCCTTACCTTAGATCTCATGTCATGTTCATAATCACCACTTTGATCCAGGGGATAATATGGTGCACCGTAATATATACCAGTATGGTCTATATTCTTCCATACAAAACATTAAAATAAATAAATTCACAGTTTTCATTATGGAAAACCTTATCGTTGGTCATAATTTATCGCTATATAGAATTTGTTTAAACTGTTTGGATCTTTACCGTCTAATTTCATATCTCGTTCTAAGAATCTATATTTCAAAATAGAGTATCGAATTCCTTGAAACTATCTTCAGTCGAATATATCTGTGTTATATGGTGCTCCAGCCATTTGAGGTAGGTGAAACCTCACTCGGTAAAACCGATTGACTTATCCGGATTATAATCCGCTTTCCAAGACTAATAAACTCACTGCGTGGACATGATTTCGTGTCATAAAATCTTGAACACTTCATCAAGATAACTTGGAAAATAATCACTTTGAAGTTTGTCAGGTTCTTAAATATAAACGATAGGTTCGTGGGTTATTAGGGCATTTAAATTTAGCTAAATTATTTTTTATCTTGAGTCAACCTTTCTAGTTGTTTGAAACCTAGAAAACCAGGTTATGACTGGATTTTAAGATAACAATAACGTTGTTCGTAGTGGCAGGATGTGTAGTATTTGAATGAATCATGATCAACAGTCATATGTATGAAATTTGGCTAAATAGCTCTGAAAACTTTGTAGCAAAATGTTGATTTAATTCACAGTTTTTCATAGTTTTATTTCACTTCACGATGGGTGAATAATCATTTACTATAGTAAGTAAGTAGATAGAGGTTTAGGAATGGTGATCAATTAAACCAAGAATATGACCAATTGCAGTGGCTTTAACCTGCCAAGCATCTACTCTTATTCCATACTAGGGTAAAAATTTGATTAACGTTTTATTACCAGGTAAGATCCACTATTACAATACAAACTGTCGTATATGATAGTGTCAGGTAATGAAACTGGAATTATGCTTTGTTGAGTTTTTTTCTAGTATACCTTAGCAGTTGTTATCAAGCATTTGTCATACTTGTAACTGTTTTTAGTATACTTTCTATCAAAACAGTGATGATTATTAAGAAAACATTATGATTGAACTTACACACATAACCTATTGGTTCAAAAAATTTCGTAGGTAATGCTGACATCAAAATACTTGGACCATTATCTATTACTGCAGTTAAAAATTCACCATCAGGGTCAAATCTGAAAATAAAATAAAGATATATTACTGAGTAGTAAAAAATGAATTATTCATTAGTTGGGTAATGTATTGTTAATTATCTTAAATTCTAAAATTACCAAACCGGTCCATGTTTTCTAAAAATTTACCCAAAACGATTTAGACATTAAAAAATTCCATAGTAATTAAACGTAAAAGCGAAGAAATGTAAGATAATGACAATTATCTCCAAGTGGTATAAACAAGTTATTTCAGAATCATGAGAATTCTTGTTATTTTGATGTAGACATCCATAGGCATACTCTTAGTACATAAAAAAAATAAACGACAATGTTTCTATTTACAAAAACAAGAGTTTGATTTTGAGATAATATTCATATTAAATATTTATGTATGTCAAATTCTTTGTACCTACATACTTTATTCTTGTGATTTAGTTTTTCGTGAATTGTGATTGGCATTAATTATTCATATATATATATATATATATATATATATATATATACATAAATTCGATAAACTTTGGTCCTTAGTTTATTTCTTTCAATGTTCGACAATTTAAGTAACAAATTAACCGTTTTGTTTAAAAAAAATTATTATTGTACATTGGACAGTGAATATTGTATGACAAAAGATTATGTTGAATTATATAGTTTTTATTGGTTGGTATATCATAATAGTTGCTAATTTACCATCATTATATGTAGGCTATGTCATCCATGTTTAATTCGAGTTTTTGATACCAATAAATTATCTTCATTGTTTGTGTTAACATTCGCCAACTGCAAAATATGGACGATTACTAGATAAATCTAGTATTTATCTATTTGATCAGATAGAATGATAATTTATTAGGTCAAACTTGGTAAACTTGTTTATTTCTCTGTCTTTTCATGGGAATATTTTCCTGCTCTTCGTAAGTGAATACATTAATAATGACTTAGTAATTAATTTTGCTAAAGCAAGTAACATGTTGTTTTGAAATAAGTACAATGTGTTCTTTATCCCTGTACATAAAATAAACACCTTCTCAGTTATGTCTAAAAGGTAAGGGTTTCAGCTTTTAATATTTACACGTAAAATAATCTGACAAAAATGTACAAATATAAATATTTCATAATATACACTCACGCAATATGTGTTAAAGGTTTACGATAGAGTCGAATAATATTTACAATTCTCGGTGAAGTGGGCCTAGTAAAGTCAATAAACATTATGGAGCCAGAATTCATTCCAGCAACTGCCAAAGGTAAAACTGGTGAAATTACCAAACAATGACACTAGGTTAAAGAAAAAATAAGAATATTCAGTACATTAAAAAGTTTTTCAAATATTTTTCAATAATAAACATCTTGTTCTTATGAAAAAATAGGGTTCTTAGAAAACACGTACTATGCTGTCGAAAATCGTGTTTCAACATATCACTAGTTTATACAATATTACCAACGTATTTACTGACTTATTTTCATAATTAAAGCACCAAATAGTGATTCGAAAAACTCCTCAGCTGACTAAAACTTACTAGTTGTTAAAATATTTCAACCTTTACTAGGCCCTAGAAAGTATTAGTTTTATCATCAATGAAGGAAGACTAAACCGGTTAATAAACAACAAGTACCCACAAAACATTCTTAGACAAAAAACTAAATCACCATTCTGTACAGAATGTAGAATCCGATCAGCACTTTGTTAACGAGTGAAAAATAGCACGTAACATAGGTTCATGGTTTTCTGTCGACTATCTTCAACCACTACCATACATTTCAAAATAATGTACGCCATGTCGAGTCATATAGACTTGTGGCTACATAGCAACTAGACTTATAAAAATTGGATTAACACTAAGAAGGACTTGATATAAATGACATTAATCATTTCTCAGTGATTAATCAACTGTAAAAGAGTGCATCTTTTGTGAAATAAGAATCTATACATTTAGTAAAATATCTATCTAGCGAGCCTGATTTCAGAACACTCAATCTCTTAGAAAGTAATCAGTTTATTAGCATTTATTACAAAGTGGTTTTAAAAATGACAATCACAAACAAAATTTTATAAAATCATGAAATGTCAAGAAAACAAAATTTCTCAAAACTTATATGTCACGAAACGTTCGAGGTTAAAACCTTTTGTTACCAGTACATAGATACCTAGTCAAATTCTGTTTAATAGCAGCTCATTTTAGAAGGCAAACACATGATAATTTTGCCGTCCATACAAAGTTAATTTTTTCGTTATTTTCATTAAAATCACTGGTAGTTTGTAGACAATGACCTCTGAAGATGATAATTCTTACCGTCATTCATCAGGCACATCAATCAATGATTACAAAGATAGTTATAAAGAATCAAATCTTTTAAATGTCTAATTAATAATAAAGCAATTAGAATTTCGTAAATGTTTCATCTGCATTACTAATACAAGATAATTTTCCCACTATATAGTTCGTAGCTCTTGGTATGATTTCAAATAATCGAAGTAACAATTTCCATTTGTCAGATATAAAACCATGTCATTTATAAAGGATAAATTATAAATCTTGAATGAGTTCAATTTCAAATCGAAAATTAAATATGTTCTAAGATAATAAATTTTGTTTGAAATAAATATATAAGTGATACTTCAGTTAAACAAAAGAAAATCCTATTGATTTAGTTTTGATTGTAAATTGCTTGAATAAAGTATATCCATTTATTTAAATATTGATAAATATTGATGAAATTACATTATAACGGAAAAAAGTGGGTGGAATCAGCATGAATGAATGATAAATGGTAACAAAAGAGAATTATAATAATTACAAAGAAATATTTATTATCTTCATAGTTGAAAGCGTGAGTCTAAATCTCGACAAAAAATCCCCTTCTGATAATAATAATAATCATATGCTCACTAGTGACTGACTTCAAGAGGTAAATCCAGGAGTTCTATTGAGAAGCAGTGACCGGTGGAGTTCCAACAACGTCTGTCGTGAGATAGGAACTCACTGAAGACAATTGGTGAATGGTCGCTCAACTTCTTGGATTGGTTGGAGTTAGACACAAACACCGTTGAATGCCAGCTCAGTGGTCTATCGGTTAAGTACTCTGTCGCGAGACTGGAAGGTCCTGGGTTCGAATCTGACAAGGCGAGGTCGTGGATGAGCACTGCTGAGGAGTCCCATAATAAGACAAAAAGACCGCCCAGTGCTTCCAGGTTTTCCCTGGTGGTCTAGCTTCAATTGACTCACGCTTTCAACCATGAAAATACTAAATCTCCACAAAAAACCGATTTCTGATAAAAATATAAATTAAACTTCTTACTGTATCATTGAGAAATAACGATCCAATTAATTCTCCTGTTTTACAATCCCAACAATTGATTATACCGGTAATTCCTGCAGTCTTTACAATAGACAAAATGATAAGCCAGTCTTTTAATCACAATTTATACTGAAGATATTAAGAAATCAGTCATTCCAATATGAAGTATACGAAGACCACTTTAATGTAAATATTTACATACCGGATACTGATAATGATGAAAAACAATAATTTACAACTTAAATTTAGTCATGTGATGCTTAGTACTGCATACATTCAATGGTAACTGCATGCGTTTTAATCAGTGGACCTCATTTTCAATGTCATTTAAATGTGCATATATTTCAATATTTACACGTCCCTCAAATATTGTTCAACATCTTTTAGGTTTTGTTGCAAGCCAACCGTTTCTCAACGTTGCGGATATTTTCTCTAGATTTTTAAAGTAGCATCTGTTGTCATGCCATAGTTTTGTGAATCCCGTTTAACTATAACTCTAAGTAAACGAAATAATTTGAGTAAATATGACAATTAAAAAATTGGGTTTCTGTTTTATTGCATATTTTCACCAAGTTATCAGATAGGACACATTTCTGGTTTGCCTCAAAAGAATACAAATGCCATCGTCCATAAGTCTTATTCATAACTTTCCTAAGTCAAAACAGAACACTCAAATGATTTTTCAAGCAACGTGCGTATGAATGGCCTAGTCACTCGTAGCACTATGAAAATTATTAAAATACCAGAGGATTCATAAAAAGAATGGAAAAATTGAGTTAAAACTTGCCATTTATACGGTGGAAGAACAATAAAGTCTGCAGAATAAGATGAATTTATTATATTTTTTGGCTTATCATCAGCAACCAGATTTATTCAGTGAGGTTTATATGAATGTGTGAAAAGAAAACGAATTTCACAAGAATAAAAATAGGAGGAAAACCTATGTCATGAATATTATTGTATACATCCAACGAGAAGCCATTTAATTGAATGAGTTCCTTTTGTTCTGCGAATCTCACTGATTGAATTTATTAAGAGAACTGGTTTATAGTCTGTTATTATGCAATGCTATTAAATCAACGGTAATTTTTAATAAGAATTGGAAGACCAAAGTGTTATCGATCATGGAAATAATTAAAGCAAAAACCATTTTTATTCCATTTATTTCTTTAGATAATCGAAAGTGCTAAAAATTCTATTTTTCAATAGTTCGTTGACAAGTACGTCGTAAAATTGAATTGTACTACTTGTACGTTATTCAGTAGTGTAAATATAAAAGATTAAGCAATTAAACATTAACAATTCTCCTAGTATTGTTTACGTGAATATTCTCATTGATGTTTAGCATTGCAATTGATCAGTCTCTTATTGGCTTATGTGCATACTGTGTGTATTGCTTCGATATTACCCTAGTGCACAAGCATTATACGCAAAGATGGATAGTGGCTAGCAGTGGAATCCAATACGTGCGTTTCGTTCTATTCGGGACTCGTCAGCTGGATTTACCTGCATCTCGGAGTTCATGTCCATTCTGGTCTGATCAATTGGAGTCCTAAGTATCAATGAGAAGATTCAAGTAAACAATATCAAGTGAATTTAAACTTCACACCACTGCACAAGCAAGTGGCTATCAGGACTCAGTAACCAAGTGGATAACGCGATGGCATTTGAAACGAAAGGTACTGGGTTCGATTCCCAGGGTGAACATCAACTCTGAGATGCAGATACATCCAACTGACGAGTCCCAAATAGGACGAGACGCGCGTATTGGATTTCACTGCCAGCCACTATCCATCTTTGCTTATTAACTATTCTCATTGTTGAAGTAATTGTAGCTATGATAGTCGATACGCTTAGTACTGAATTTGTATCCTTCATGCTGGATTAATTTGATGTATTTGGCTGTGTCGTTTAATTCACACTGATTAGTTTCAATGATCGAAATAAATCATGGATGCTTCAACAATCGTGTTCATGTATGGGACCTCGAAGTAGACTTCTTAATTTCAAGGAAATAGGTTATTTATTCATTGAGAGCTTAAAGTCACATTTCATCACCGCTAGTAAGAATCAAATTCATTTAAGAATTACCAAACCATGTATAAAGTTTGCCTTAACTGTAGAATATTATGGGCCGAAGCCTCTTTCATTAACAAACCTCCAAATGTTATGCGTCGATTGAGCCTAACTGTTTTAATTTCAACTTTAAAGTGCCTAAAAATGACCAAACACGATTATTTATCACCTAGTGCGATATAAATAATCATGACTAGTCGATTCCGTTAGATATAAATCTTTTACAAACTTGTTATTCATATGAGGAAATATAAAAAAAACTTATGGTCTAAGTCTCAGAGACAGCGAAAATTAATTGCGGGAGAAATCACTTGGCTGAAAATAGATGGTTATGGTGAACATTATCTTGTGCTTTCATCGACTTAAAATTTTGAACATTCATTCAGCGTTCTTTCTTTTTTATCTGCACAGGGTAAAATTGTTTTGGTTAATCATTATTGTTGAACATAGATACATAACATCTTGAATGATGTATCAAAGAAAATTATTGCAATAACAAACAGTAGATCAAAACAGGTTCTCAAATTAACTTACAACACAAATTGTTGATTTTTCAGATGTAATTAGTCCCATTCCAACAAACCGATCACAGTTAGTAAATATTTCTTTGTCAGGACTTAGAGTAGACTGTAGTGAATCGTGTAAACTAAATAAACTCAAATAACCAAGCCGACAACTAACTGCGATTCGTCTATATGATGATGATATACTCAAACCAGTGATATTTTTACCCCAATGGTATCGAACATTTTGTATCAGGTTTTCAAAATTATAGAGATTTATACAGTTTTGAATTTCAGTGTTGAATAAATAGTTTTCACCAATTTTTACTGATGACGCTTCATTTACTTTGACAGATAATTGATCACTTTGTTTGTTGAGTGGATTTATTTTATTCATTGTCGTTGGTGTTGTTTTAGTTAAAATTAGTAAACGTAGAATACCATCGCTACCACCGGTTAGTAAACCATGCGTTGTATATAATAAATAGGTTAAACATCCTTCTAGTCTATTGACTATTTCCACTTCTGAATTAATTAATGAAGATTCTGTTTAGATAAAATCACAATTACAATCAATTTTATCAAGAGCACTTTCAAACGTTTCAATATATTAAAAGAAGAATGTCAATTAATGAAATAAAATAAAACACTTATCCACAACTAAATGATAGGTTATCTGGTTATGCCACTTCTATGTGTATCTATGAGTTCGGCTGCTCCTGTGGAGAAAGCTATATTGGGTGCACTACCAGACAACTGAACCAAAGAGTTAGTGAACACCTCCCTTCGTGGTTAGGAAAAGGTATTATCAAGTCAATATAGAGCTTGGTTCTTTCACACTTGACCGATAGCGGTCAAATAGTTGACAGAAACCAATCATTTAAAGTTATTTATCGTATTCCTACTAGTTTTCTTTATGGGGTTCGATCTCATCTCTTACACAAGGCAGAGGCTATAGGAATTCGATCCGACAATCCAAGTCTTTGGGTTCATAAGAAATTTGTAACACCCTTGGCCTTAATAAATAATTTTATTTTCCATACTCTTTCTTCGTTTATTTTTATTCACCCTCCTACCAATTATTTATTTATTTATTCAAATATTCGCTTCACGGTCCAATTATCTGAACACTTCTTATTACGTATTCTTATAATTTTTATGAATGTTATTTCAGTGTCTATATTTTTTCTAATCATTGACCTATTTCCCATTATGTAACATTGATTCAAGCCTTTATTATTCTTATCACAACTAATACACCTGTCATCACACTACCAATTTGTACTTTTTACTTATTATGTTTATTTAAGTAGTTTATTCCATTGTTATCATTGACTCATAAACTACCTTGACTAGTTTAATAATTTCATATACTTTTCAAAGTTGAAATCATGAGTCAATTAAAACTAGACCACCACCGAAAACCTGGAAGCACTGAACGGCCGTTTCGTCCTACTATGGGACTCCTCAGCAGTGCGCATCCACGAACCCACTCTCGCGGGATTCGAACCCAGGACCTACCAGTTTCGAGCCGAAGCCCTTAACCGATAGACCACTGAGCTGGCATTCAACGGTGTTAATGTCTAACTTCAACTGATCCACGAAGTTGAGCGACCATTCACCAATTGTCTTCAGTGAGTTCCTATCTCACAACAGACGTGGTTGAACTCCACTGGTCACTGCTTCCCACTAGAACTCCAGGACATGTATCTTGAAGTCAGTCACTAGTGAGCATATGATTATATTTAGAAGGGGATTTGTGAATATAACTGTATAGTAGAGTAAAGCCTGATGAGGATCTAATCGAAAAGAATATTGAAGCTAGACCACAATCGAAAACCTGGAAGCACTGGACGGCCGTTTCGTCCTATTATCGGACTCCTCAGCAGTGTGCAGACATTAACACCGTTGAATGCCAGCTCAGTGGTCTATCGGTTAAGGGCTTCGGCTCGAAACTGGTAGGTCCTGGGTTCGAATCCCGCGAGAGTGGGTTCGTGGATGCGCACTGCTGAGGAGTCCCATAGTAGGGCGAAACGGCCGTCCAGTGCTTCCAGGTTTTCGGTGGTGGTCTAGTTTTAATTGACTCATGATTTCAACTTTGAAATATAAGTAATAAATTCATGTATATTATATATTGTCATTTATAATAGTTCAATTTTAAAATTGTCATGAAAACGTTTATAACTTTCTTTAATACAGCTCTGACAATAGATTTATGGTGTTATAAAAAAAGTAATTATCTGATGATATGAAAATGGTAAACTTTACTGAATAAAACATCTAACTGAAAATTAATATATACAGTTGAAATCATGAGTCAATTGAAGTTAGACCACCATGGATAACCTGGAAGCACTGGATGGCCGTTTGGTCTTATTGTGGAATTCCTCAACTATATATAAAAAATCACTAAAAAAAATCTCCACAAACAACCCCCTCAAAATTAATAGTAAATTACCAAAATAACCAAGTAGGAACAGAATAGTCTTATACATAATCGATTATTGGTTTGCAAATTATTCTCATGTTACAGATAAATTTTAAAAAAAGTCTGTCTTTATCTATTTATCTTGTTCGGAAGAAATTTTAGAGAAATCTGTTATTTTTCATAATTGTTATTGTACTATTGTCTTCCTTACCTTTAGGATTCTGACAATGAGAAGCTGGGTTCAATAAAATTTTCAAATTCATACTGATTGGGTCAAACTTGAAAAGAAAAAGAGGTAATAAGCTAATTGTATTTAAAAATGTTAATTCACCACACAAGATAAAAGAAAAGCTTCAATATTACTGAAAATTGGATTATTTACAAGGTAATCACTTTTGATTTTAGGGTTAAAATTGCACTAATGTTTACGAAATCATTATCTTTAGTTCTGGCTTTTTTAAACATGGATATCTTCTATATTTACTTCACTCCCTAACATTTACATGGGATAAACAGTAAGTTCCAACCTGTAATTCAATGACATCAAAAAACATAGTTAAACTCTAGAAAAGTCTTTGGAATTTTTTTTTCTCTACTCCAAATATGCATCAGTCAGAACAGCATTTAGGGAGGTCAGCACCAAGTATTTTTTTTATCAGGTCTGTTTCCAGCATTTAGCCTTCTAAGTACTATGAGATTTCTTAACAGATAAAGTCTTATTGACGGTGAGGTTTCATTAAAACAGGGTTTATTTATCTGCTACAAGTATAGGTCTGTCTCAATGATCAAGTAGGTAGTTAAGTAATATGTTTTAATTCTTGAAAATTAGGGTATAAAATATGTGTTCTTCATTATATTGAATCAGTATAAACACTAAAACAGGAATAAAAGTTGATTATCCAGTTTAATCACATTTCTGAAATATGTGTGATCGATACCGTAACCGTAATAATGATAAAAATGTAATATTTACTCATTCAAGCCTATTGATGAATCAGTTATGATATGCTACGCTAACTTTCCATTACTTACATTCAACGTAAGCAAATTATTCAGATTGAACGTACAAAACCTTTATACATACACATAGGATAAGCATTAAATTTATCTCAAGCCTCATATTTAAACGCTTACTGGTTAGGCAATGATAAGTGATAAATGAATTTAATAAAACATTTCAAAGGTTTAGAGTATATTCGTAGGTTTGTTGGTCAGTGAATTATTTAAAACAACAGCTTCCCAATCGACACCTATGAAAATATTCAGACGAAGAAGTTTGAAAGTAATCGAACAACATTAGTGTTTTGGTTAACTATGGTTAGCGTCATTATTAAGGTATTAGTGAAGAGTATTAGAAATACATCTTAGACAACCAAATAAAGATGAAAAGTTAGCAATCGTAAACGAAACGTACCAATAACAACTGGCCTCCTTCACAGCCGATGAAAACTAATTTTGAATTTGTCCAAGTCTGTGAAACGCAATTTAATCGAACACATTTGTCCATATAATCGTCGAACTCTTCTTCTCTGGATTCATTAAGTCCTTATCAAGCAAAAAAAACGATAGATGTTAACGAAAGTAACACAAGATAGTGAACATGTGAAACAAAATATTATGAAAGCAACACTAAATATTAAGTCACCTGTAATTGAAGATCCCAGTACATTTGGATCGAATCTTGTTTCATGTCGTACACCTGTAGTATCCTCATTGATCTTAGTGTCATGTGATCCATAATATGGCCCAAGACTGACTGTATGCTCTGGTAATATCATCGAACTGAAATCAATTTTATAAAGTTAGTAATGAATCAGCAAGATATTTATTAAGTATAACTAATTATTATTCACTTGAAAATAAATATCTAACAGACATTAGGATATACTCAAACTATGGTTTATGCTACATGAGTATAGAAAATAAAATGATACTTGACTATTGATTTGCTTCGATATTTTGTTCAGCAACAAACAGTGAAGTAACAAAGTAAAATGATTTGTTCTCTTGAATGTTTCATTAGTGAATGGGCTTTGCAAGAACCACACGTATAAAGAAAGTTGATTCCTCATTCTTAAACCTATGCCGCTTATAACTGCTAGGATATTTGAATGCATTATCCGTAAACTTATTTCATGGCTTACCAAGTCAGTGAGAATGGAGGACCAAAAATGTATACACACATTCTATTTCAGATGCTTTCGAGGCACTTTGTGCTAGTGATAGTATAGAAGATACTACTCACAAGATTGTTTGCAACCGGTAGGCTGAAGAAAGTGGCCTCAAAGTTGTCAGATGGAGTGAAGGCTTGTGAAGGTATGTGATGTATGCTACTTGTGTTGACAGATATAAGTAGTATTTAACTTCAATCGCAAGTTGAATGTCTGACAGTAGAAGGCTAAGAAGATCGAATTGAAGAAAACAGAAGGGGAAATAAAAAGGAATTGTGGCTTGGAAGAATCATACAGAATGTAAAGGACAATTGATGGGAGGTTTGTAAATGAAGTATTTAATGTTCGGTTCTCACGATTCAAAAATACATTCTGTAATTCTGTATTATAATAATAAACCGTTTTTTTCCACCTGATTGTTCGTTCATTACAAGTAAGGCGAAAGCACGGAGTCGACATAACACTTGGAGACCAGATGAAAAAGCTGTTCAGATTCACGAAGGCAGCAAAAGATCTTAACCACAATGGCAAGCTAGCCCAAATAATTACAATTCTTTATCTGTTGTAGTGATTAGTATATTTGTTACACATGCCGAACTCAATTTGTCAACAAGAGCTAAGTAAGGTGGTTTAAAAAACGAAGTAGGAGCATCAACTAGTGTGTTGTATGATAAACAGTGTACATCCTAAATGATTTTCTTCAGGTATTAGAAATCGGTGAATAAGGACTTTGAATAATAAAGTTTAAGATAGATTTCATGTCTTGAGACCATCTTTCTATGAATTTTGAACATCCATTTTTGTCTCATTTTTCTTAATTATTTATATCAATGAAACGTAGTCAAGTAAATACATTTATTGTTGTTTAAGTCCATATAAAGCTTCCTTGTTCTCAAAAATGTACGTTATGGTTGACAACAACTTACGTCAATAAAAATTTAGAAATAAAGATTTGACCGAGTGTGACCAAACTCAGTAGTTAAAATCCTGATACGTCATCCTAGTAGCCTATGAATATCGGGCCAGTCTTCAGAGAAACAAACGTGTAACTTGTTGGAGAGTTAGTGATTGAAACAAGCGAAGTAATCAAAGTAAAATCTAGGTGACGTTAGCTTATAATATGACTAGAGGTTTCATAGCTCTTCTGTTAATTGATATTTATACCCATTCTTTAAGTAAAGTTTACAGTTATTGAGCTTATACAGTTTTTTATGATACGACTAATAAACATACATTTGCATATGCCGGTAGGATAGTAGGTCTTACTTGCATTTAATAGAATTCATCTGGTCACATGTTTCAATCTGCCAGACATGTGCACAATGATGATCTGTCCCCAAAAGATAATGCCAATCTGTCGGACAAAAGCTGAATGTCGTTAAGTGTAATCCATTTAAATTAGTTTTGCACAATATTTCACATGAATGAAAATTCCTATAAAACGTATGAATGGTGCAAATATAAATGATTTGAATTAATCTACAAATTGTTTTTCTCTGAAAATATCTCAAACCGATGGCTTAGATATTATCTCTTGTTTTACTTATGATGAGAGCTTTAGGTTATGATTTTTAGAATCATTTACAAAACAAAGTTGTCTACATTTTGTTACACGGAAACCATCATTCAAAAATGTTATGGAAATGTAATATGTTATGTAATATGCTATATAAAGTAATATGCCATTCTGAAGATCCAATACCGTTATTCAGTTCAGCTCCTCCTTCATTCAATTTTTCTCTCAATAAGGTATTTGCTACCTGTTCTATAATTCATAGCAATGCTATTTCGTGTCAATTTTTATTTCAGAAATAAGTTCAATGTACGTAATTGCTTGCTAAGGCTTTTCATACTCGTTCATTTGGAAATCAATATTTGAGTTTGTGAGTATTCATCAACTCTGTTATTTTACTCTGGAATATTGGTTGTTTCAGTACCTAATGAACAACAGTTGTATCGCAAGAGTAACAATTATAAACTTATAAAAATCAGTAGTCAGGCCTTCATGTTTATTAAACCACAACGTTTATCCATTTCTGGATCTCATTCTCACGTTCAATACACACAGATAAGTGATCACTCAAAATTAACTATCAACCTAACGGATTTACACGCATACCAATAAATGGTAATCGTACAGAGTTTTTATTTCTTCAATAAATCATTACAAAAATATAAGTAAGTTGAATGTCGTATAACGTTCAAGTTGGCAGTTCACTGGCTTGAATAAGTTAACTTGTGGTGACATATCGGAATGTTTTTAAAAAACTGATAGCGGTTATTTCAAACTCATTCGAACAGTATCTAAATATTTCTGGTAGTGCAATTTGCGGAAGATCATGCACCACAGAATACTCACTGGATATCGTGACTCAAAATATGACTTCATAGTATTTTAAAGGTTTTATTTTGAGTTTGAATGATAATGATATGAATGAAATAATCACGTAAACAATCTGATAAACAAAACTAATGGTTCCGATTGTAAATGGAATTCAAATGAAACTTGTTTTCCGAATATAAGAGTGAAACACGGACGCGTTATAATTAAGGTTTCATTAGGCTAAGTCTTTTACAATGGTGATCACAGATCAACAAAGACTTGGGATATTTGTAATGAAAGGGGTTATCAATTTTGACCAAAAACATTTATAAAATGGGTGTTCTTCAATGAAAATGGAGGTGAAATAGTATTCGACTACTACTTTTAGTACTAAAAGCCATGTGTATGAAGTCAATAAAAATATCACTCTCGAGTTTATTTAACCATCAGTAGATCCAGTTGTATGCTTTTCAGTCAACTGCAGTGTCAAAAATAATTTCATGTTTTAAATTATGCGACACTTGCATCGTGGCTTTGAAACAATTGTTTGTGACAGCAGAAAAGATGTAAATCCGTAATTAATATGACGCACAGTTTGTCGTATTTTAAGCCATATAGAGTGCAACATTTTGATAACTTGTTTGATGGTTACGACTGAGTAGAACTTGTAACAGCACTGACATTTTCTAAAGTTAACTATACTGGCAAACTGGCAAAATAGCTCTCTGGGTTCATCTCAGGGGAACTAGGCATCTATGAGTTAGGTCGCTATTGATGTCATTGGTCTGCAAGTTGATGAGGCTTGCACTTCATGACTGAGCTATATAAGAAAAATAGACAGTATAAGTGTTTATAATTCGTGATCTTATTTTTAGATTCAAAATGATTTTTTTCATATTTGCGTAACAACTACGACTCTCTCCTTCTCCGTTCAGAGTTTGTGTGCTAATATCTGATTGCTTACTGAAAAACACAAGTCTGAATTCTAATTGCGCAATAAGTTCCACGCATAATCGGAGGAAATCAAACATGAGTCTATTGATGCCGAATCTCAAAACTTAACATTTAAGAGGAAATCACTTTTAAAGTGCACATATAAATTTGAAATGAATTCTTCCTCTTAGTTTTTAGTGCGTATCAAGCTGAATTGGTTCATTCTGTATAAGGTTAGTTTGCTGAATTTTTAAGAGTTTCATTTAATTAATTAGATCACTGTTATTCTGCATTTAAGTGATGGTAGGACAACCAATACCTTTTGTGGTCAGTAGTCACTGGAACCAACTGATATAATGATAAATAAAAGTGAATGTGGATGTGATCCTGTTAGTTTTACAGTAATATATTCTACCTAAAAAGATAGTCTTTTGGGGTAGCTGGAGCTATAACGGACGATAGCCGTTCTTTTCCGCACTGAAGTTGTCTTCCTTTTATTTATTTGTAGTGGCCCTCTTCTATATAAACTACAGTCAAGTGTAAAGTCAGAAAACTGAAAAAGACACAAAACTAGGTAATAAAAATCAGAATATTAATTAATACCAATAACTAAACTTACCATATTGATAGAATAAAATCAGGTATGCCAGAAACTGTTGCATAATAGTTGGTGTGGGAAAAGATGGACTGTTGGATCTCCAATTTAGAAGCATCTGTTTGATCAAAATCGACAAAGCTTGAGAATGAGATTGTAACTTACTTTTCAAAATATTTTCCTCTTTTTGAGGATATTTGTAAATGTAAACCTTCGGGTTCACGTTACATAACTCTGTTACCGAAAAATAAGGTTCTAGTGGATGTATGGATAGACCAGTGGAGTGTTTTGTGGGCAAATGAAGTGTTTCAACCTTGTTAGTTAAAACATCATGAAACTTAATTGATGGACCACATTTCATACACAAAACATGATCACCTAAAAATCCAAATTGAAACTTCTTCAGTCCTTGAACCCATCTAGAAGAATTAGCAATAAGCAAACAAATAAAGCCTATTTTATGAATAGACGGTTCAAATCAAGTAAATTACAATATTGGATAATGAGAAAACCTATGTTTATTTTACCGTGCAGTGATGTTATAATGCATATGATAAATTCACTCATTAAATAATAAATTAGAACAACTGCATTTTGAGTATACTTTGTAGGCCAATATAAATTTGCCTTTATGTAAATGGATCATAGAAAATCAGGGTGGTTACTTGAGTTACTGTAGTGTTTATGTGAATCAATGATTTCTTTTTATTGATGACTGTTTTGATTTTGAAATCCAAATACAGTACATTCGTTCATGCTCATCTAATACTTCTTGATTAAATTGCGTTATTGCTGGGATTACTAGTTTATACTATAATTCAAATACCTTTGAACATCACAGATATTAAATTTTAAAAATAACTCGCTACAATTCTTCTTAGAAGTTTTCATTCTTTCAAAGACTATTATTACGTCCACTTATGTACTTTGGACAAAGAATCACCCCAAGATGTATGTATTTTAGTGATTAACATTTGCTATCAGCATCCGCATGAAACTTTGAGTGACCATGATAACACATTTTTTAATGTAAAACATAAGTAGCGGGAAGAATACTTTGAAAACTTCTGGATCACAAAAGATGTGACCTAACACTGGATTACGATACACTAAATCATGATTTCAGAACTCATCTCAGTGGGTATTTTTAGAAATCTGAAAAATATAGATCAACAAGTCTAATTCTGTAGTTTCGTCTCTCAGCAAAAATGCCAAGCTACTAGGAGTATCAACTGAAACATGAAGCATTGGCGCTTTCCGTTGAAAAGGCAGAGCGAGGTTACTAATATGGCAAGGATTATTAAAATCAACCTGAACCCCTTCACTTACCTTCGAAGATCGGGTAACCTGAGGATAACTAGTTGCGTACCAGACGTAACCTCTGCACCTAGAGTTAGTAAACATTAAGCACCTAATGTTCTTGTTCCTGCATACTACGGGTTCATGAAAGCTCATGAAGCATACTTGCTGCTCGCTTGAGAACTCAACATTCTGTAATATAACAATTTATCAGAGTTCAAATTGCTATTCAGTTTTTCTAATATATATATATATATATATATATATATATATACATGGAAACATGTATGCTACCAAGAAGAAACCTGCTGTAACATTCAGAGTATTTAAAAACTGGACGTATGTACATTGTTGGACTACATAAGATGAGATATTATAAATTACAATGAATATTGTTTTTTTACCGATTAAGATGATTGCAAATTATAATGTCAGTGCTCATACTAATTGATATTATAAATCACTCCAAAATATTTTGCTTCTACTCTTTATATAAATGGCTTACCATCACGTTTTAGATAAGCACCGATATTATAATTTGTAATAATCTATGCTCAAGTTATGTGTAAAGATCTTTAGTGAGAGATTATCTTAAAGTCATTATATATCTAGTATAATGTCATACTCGAAGGTCATTTTCATTTTTTTGCTTGTCGTCATGGTAACAAAAGCTTAAACGCTCGTTACACGTGATTTTTATTCATGCTATTATTGTATTTAACAAATAATAATTGTTATGTGGCATAATCTGTTACGTTTGATTATCTTACACACCTAATGGTATGTGCGGTGCTTTCGATAGCTGCGCAACATGGCCTTTCCGGCAATTTCAAACTAACAATACTAGTTTGCTCAACAAATCGATATCGACCATTTCTTTCGTGTTCAGATTTGTTTTTCAATATAAAGTGCGAATGGATATACTCTGCGTTCGACTAAAATAACAGTTCCACCCGGATTATTCATTTTCATCAGGATCTAACAGAATTTGCACTAGTGTTAAATGCTTGTTCCCATAAGATTTTTATTATTTACGGAAAATCATTTATGAACTTCTTCAGTCAATTTCTGGAACTGTGGAACTCACGCTTTCCTGGAGATAACAAAGCTCCTCAACTGGATTGTTTGAAAGCTGACCAGTTTAGTTCTGTTGCTGATCAGAAGCGTGCTCTGGAGGAATATTCGTGTAAGTTGTCAATGACAATCGAAGAACACAAACAAAAGATCGACTATGACTCTTTTACAAAAGAATATTTACAGAAGTGTATACAAAAGCTCGGTGCTATATCACAAGTTTTCAGTGAGATCGAACATGTTGGTCCTAAAGTATCTGGAAGTTCTAGCAGTCAGCTTTCGAACATAAGTAATTTCCCCGGTGATATTTCGAGCAATATATTTTCTCAAAATACAACACCCTGCTTCACGAACAATCCTTCTAATTTCTCTCTACTTCCACAATGCATAGCATCAAGTCTTATCAACTCAGCATCGCCACTTCTTGCAGCTGTAGCAACGTCTACTGCCCCTTTTTTATTCCCCTCGACGTTGACACACTTTTCTTGCCCAGATGTAATCAAGTAAGTTTCTTTCTATTGACCCAAGTCACTGTCATCCTCGTGAATTGTTTACTTGCAAGATGGTAGTTACTTGTTTTAATTTCTTTGTTGTTTGCTTTCAATTAGTCTTTAAAAAAATCCGACTGAAATGCATATTTAGTTAGCGGTCGCGCATTCTTACAGCTTCAATGATATTAAGGTGGGAACGGATAAAATATTTTGGCATTTTCATATTTGGGATATGGGAGTTCATCACTAAGGATATCTTTGGGGCGTGCTTCTTGTTGTACGACAACTGTCAGTTCTTTTGATAAATTACGTAGTTGTCTTTTATCATAGTGCATACAAGAGTATAGTTGTACCATAGATACGGTATTTTAACCAGTTTTCTAGAAGGTCTTGGGTACAAATTCTTGGGTAATATCAATTATTTTTTCATATCCAGGAATCCAACATGTATTAATATCATCCCACAATGGTACTTCTCATTCTTACTAAACTAACTTGTTCGTGTCAGTTGTAACATTTATATTGTTACCTATTACTTTGAGTTATTATACATATCAGAATTTCAAGAATTCCGACATTTTGGTGCATCACTTTCATCTAAAGCTTTGTATGACTCTTCCGATGCTTCCAATAACAGAAAGTACTCATGAGCGATATTATTTTTGGCTTCAAACACCTTGATAGTGACGGAATGTCTGGATCTCATTATTTTCTCTTGTAATTGTGTGCACTTGTGAGCCTATTTGATTTGCAACTACGTTGCGCGTAACACTATATGGCAGATTTCTGCCTATCACGTGCCTCAAATGTATAGGAACTATTTGTGTGTATTATCAATGAGTCATTTGATACATCGTAGTTCCCACTTCCGAGATCTCCAAAAGGAGTCAAGTAGTTGAATGTCTATCAATTATAGCTTAGGTCGTTACACTTTGAAATGTGTTATTGATCATACAAACATATCCGTCTATTCTGTGAAGTTTGTTGGGATATAATGCATTAATGTATGCATAAATATCTGAAACGTGTTCGCAGATATTAAGTTAATAGTCAATGTAACTTCATAATTTATTATGCGCTTATATACAGGCCAATGTTAGTATTTTGTGGTCCTGTGGTTGATTCACTGCAACCCGGTTTTTTAGTTCAATTCCACCTGTCTTTTACTATGCCGATGTAGTAGTAAAAACTATCGTTATATTGATTATTTATTTATTTATTTAAACACATAAATATTGGTACAAGAAAGCATCAGATACATATGCGCCGCACAAATCTCATTTGATTTGTGTGAGGGCTGAGATACTGCCCAGGTGCCCAAACTGGAGCAGATGGTTTTCCTAGGGGACCACACCCCAAGCCTTTGACCTAAAGATCTAATCCACAAGGCAATGGAACATCGTAAGGAGATGCAGTCCCATAGTAGCCGGTGACCAACGACTGATTCATACGCCATTTGTTCCCTCAGGATACTGGAGCCCATGTGCACCATTGGTTTGGAATCAGGGTTTTCCAACTCCCCTAGGTGGACTTTCCGTGTTCACCAACCCAGTTAAAGCGTCGGACATTCGCTTTTGGTCCTTTCAATTTCGTAAACAGCAGTAATACCACGAGAAGGCAGTGAGTAGGACTTTGCTTGCAGAGGCTATATACGCGTGGCCATGTGAGAGCATTTCGTGAGGGAGAGCGGACTCTCCACACTCTCGGCCGTACCAGGGCGTCTGGGGGCTGATTGGGTGTTTACTACTACTTGCTAACATGAGGATAAGACTTTTGGGTGATCAAATAGTAACAATGTCAAAAAAGCTGCATCATGTTGTGATAATATGAGTTGATATGACCAGGACCTATCACCAATTCATAATATAATAATAATCAAGTGAAGGTTTATACATTAAGCTCTGCACTCTAAGTATTGTATATGCCCGGTACTACTCGAGGGCCTGCAATTCCACGTTGTGAGGGTGTTGATGAATATTGGCCGTAGGATCATTGATATAAAGAACGGTTTTATTTTAAAATTAATAGTATACAGCCTAACTCAATATCTTTTGCTGTGCATACTCACAATATCAGTTTGATAATATTGTTACTGCTCTCAATGAATTGTTAGTCGCCTAGTTACGGATTCAAAACTAGACCAGTGAAAATATAAGATATTTTTCTGTAGTGGGTATTCGACCACAGATATCTTCAGATCATATACTAAATGTTGGGGTCACTTGAAAAGTGATGCTAATGTTGGCAGTATACTGTTGAGTGAAAGCTAATGCGGCACTAGTCATAAGGGCTGTCAAACCAGGACATAACATTAAATCATGATATTAGTAACATATGATCTAAGCTGTACCTCACGTAATATACTTCATAGAGAAATATTGCACTTATTGTTTACTTTAATCCTGGAATTCTAATTCCCAGGTTTAATTTCCCCCTTAAGAACTATACTTTTGTACTTTCTTTTTTGTTATTTTGAGTTCTTAGGTTTTCATCTTGTTAATGTCTTGTCGTCTCACTGAAGCAGTGTATTGGCTTAAAATTACTTTTTTTTAAGATCGTTCACTGTATGTGGTCACCTGAATGACCGTTTCGGTAATCTCTAGTTACAATTCTGTAGTCTGATTAATAGTTGGTTAGCTTCTTTTTGCAGAATATCAGCTATATGCAATGTAAATCTGGTTATCACATTTTAAACTGAAAATATATACTCGCCCGTTAGTTGAAGATTAAACGAATATCAACATACATTTGCTTTGGCGCATTTTTGGTGCTCTGTATTGCCAAAATATTTGTACTATGAATAAAATTTAAAAAATACGATTATGTTAACAAGCTATAATGGTTACGGCAAAGACGAAACAATGCGGGCCCTAAACATTTCACTCCATCGTTTAATTATAACTTGTCCTACTTGTTTTAATTAATGTACATTGAGTTAAACAATACAAAGTCTAACTATACAATATATTCGAGTGAGAAATCGTTTATCATCACAGACAACAAAAAACCTAGCATGAACAGTTATTGTTTTTCTGATGTATTCACTTTGTGTATGCCAGTATTCAGTTAGTTCGTATCCTCATAATTTAATTTTGTGTTATTTTAAAAAATGTACTGAATCCAAAGAAATCTAATCATAATTTTCCGTCTTAACCAATTTACGTAACTGTGACTTTGATCAACATAATGAATGCACATGTACACTAAATCTACGATAAGGTAACTTAGTTGCCAAGTATGGATTCACGCATTCGGCTTTAATCCTCATTTTTTGGAAGCACCGACGGTACGGAGTTTGGACCATAATTCGCTGGTTGAAACCAAGCTCCTTAATCCTTTATATTTACTGTATATTGTGTAATCTATTCGTCTCCCACCTTCTGTAAGATATTGCCAAACATATGACAATTTCGAAACGCATCATCTTAGTGTTTTCGAATTTCTACACATAGTTTCTACGAATGTTATAAGTTTTTTTTACATTGTTTTCTCCTGTAACAGGTCTGATCCGGATCAAGTTTCACAATCCAATAGACCACGTGGTTCAGGGGATCATTGTCTTGTTCAAAATCATGAACACCAGTCATTTGATCTCACCCCATCTCCTATTCACAACAACTTGTTTTGTTCCGGGACAAATTATCCTCCTCCAACGGCATCTCGACCTCTACCCCATGAAACAGGAGGCTGTGTTAAATCTGACTACTCGGGCAGATTAAACGATGGTTTAACAGGATCAACTACGGATGCTCAGGCGGCAGCTGCTGCCGTAGCTGCTGCTTTTGGACTCAATTTTACTGGTGGTGGCCCACTTACTGGCAACAACAATGTGATGGGCTTTAATAAACAAAGAAATCAGTCTGGTTCCAGTCTTCTCCAAATCTCACCAATGAGTTCTATCAACGGTGTAGATGGAAAGGAAGAAGATAGTTCAATCGAGCGTCCTTTCCAGTGTATGACATGTTCAAGAAGTTTTTCTGTCAAGGCGGGTTTAGTACAACATATGCGCACACACACAGACGAGCGGCCATATCCATGCATTCACTGTGGAAGAGCTTTTAAGCAAAAAATCCAGCTCACCACACATATGCGTGTACATAGTGGTGAGCGTCCTTATGGTTGCCGTTTATGCGGGAAATTGTTCAGGCAGCAAAGTCATGTGGTTCAACACCTACGAACTCATACAGGAGAAAAGCCACATAAATGCTATCAATGCGGTAAAGCTTTTCGTCAAAAATACAGCCTCATTTCCCATCAGCGTCGCATGTGTCGCAATCGCTCCGCTTCTAACCCTATCGCAGCAGGAATGACCATGTGGATAAGTCCAGGAGTAGATGGCGATACTGGTAATCTCATTAAGGAATTCTCCCCTAATAAAGGCAATTCGTCGATTGCAAGTCCGAATGCCTCATTGTCAACTCCGATCTCAGTTATGACGTCTCTCCAATCACCCCCATCTCCTTTTCCTTCCTCACCGGTGTCTAATACGCACGCACTTCCGCAAAACCAGTTTCAAACTCCAGTTAACATAAACGGTGATTCACATCGGGAAAATCCAGTTGCAACGAGATCCCGTTGCAATTCTCTGTCAAAGAGCAAGTATGAATTACACGATTGGTCTCGTTCTCTTTCAAGGCATCCATCACGTCTCACATCAGAAGATGATTCTATCCATAGTCCTAGAACTTCAAGGTCCGGCGCATTGCAAGGTCATGCCCCAATGGGACTTACTTAATAGAAGTCATGAATACTCGTAATTCATAATGATTTAGAATACATATAATTTAATTTTTTTGTCGAATTATCAACATTTTATATTAATAATGATCTGTTTTACATAATTTTACTAAACCTACAGCTGTTATATGCCAAAGCACATATTGGATGCAATGAATTTCGCCTTTTTAAAAGATTGTTGAGGCACCTACTCGAACACTTTCACCCATGAAAAAACAATTTTGATTATTTTGTCACTGTCTCATTCTTTTGCTTCCTACTGTTATAATAATGATTCTTACCATTTCTGTTGTATCTAAGCAGAACTGCGTAAATTATTTTAAATATCTTCTGTTCACTCTCCAAACTTTCCACCCATAAGTGGATTCCAACCACTCGCGCTACGAAAAACCTGCTTCTATTTTGTAAAGTGCTTTCAAAATCTTTTTGCCTCACTGTTTTTCCCATCATCAATTGATTGAAAATGTTTCAGCCAAGATACACAAGTTTCATCGAATTATTTATTATAATGGATGAAAATTTGAACAAATCAGTTTAAGTTTCGATATTTTTGATTAAAACAGGTAGATCGTATTTATCATTCATTCCGCGTTTGTTTGTTTTCCGTGTTATCTTTTCTAACCACCCTATGTTTGTATTACGGAATAAATTAGTCATTTATATCATGTGAATTGATCTGAACATAGAAACATAGGCTTTATGAATGCCTTTGTTGTGTATTTGGCCCTAATTTTACCCAAATATTTTTTATGACCGATATCTGTTCGTTGTTTGCGTCACATTTAAAATTCAATCTTGCGTTAATGTTTTGATAATTTTTAGTAAGTTTTTCTGATAAAGTCAATAAGATATTTCCTTTGACAAAATGCCATATGCGTAATTATTGAGCTCATATTCGAAGTATTATTTTTGCATACATCAGTATAATTTTGAACTCCACAGTTGGTTGGATTCGTTTATGGTTATAGTGCTTGACTCTTCATCGGGAATATTTTTAACCTACATCTAATTACTTTCAGCATATACCATTTTGTCAATCATTCATATTTACCTTTACAATCTAAAAAGTACTTGTACACTATGAATACGTTGACATGTAATAGTGATTCTAAAAACGGTGATTCACCTAAATACTATGGATGATGTAAATTCTACTGACAAGTTATTTCAATAACTATGTAGAGCTAAGTGCCATCTATTTCAGTACACAATTGCAAAACTTTAAGAATAGAAAAACTTAAGCAGATGAAATGTTTTTACTAATCCTCTTATTCGATGAACCTACTAAGTAGTAAGCAGTAGCAGTGTTAGTATCAGTCAAAGTCAATTAGTGAGGCTTTAATTGAAAGATTCGTAGAAAATCTAAAGCTATGGCTTACCGTTGTGGAAAAAGCACTTTTTGATGTACAGATACGTTTCCAAATAACTAGGGCAAATTTTCAGTCGTTTTTTGTTAATAATGTAGAAGAATTTAGAACACTAACTAAAAATGTTATTTTAAATGTCATATCAAATTAACTTTATAAACGTTTAGAACTATTACTTTGCAAATAAGAAAGTTTGTAAAATTCGACATAAGCCGTAGTAAGTTTTGCTTCCAACACTAAATTTCACCATTCTCGATTATAATCATCGGATTTGACGTTCGCTAATAAAATGAGATTTCATGTACATCGCACATGTTTACTCTCGCAAGATTGCTAGTACCTGTCATGAATTCGATGATAAAACAATGAAAAGCCCTTACACTGGTTTGTACTTCTGAGTTATTATCATATATTTGGTCAAACATTACGTGATTAAATTGTTCAGAAATCTTAAACTAAGTGCTTAATCGATATAGCCTTGATTCACAAGCATATTAAGCAAAGATGGATAGTGGCTAGCAGTGGAATCCAGGACGCGCGTTTCGTCCTATTTTATCGTAATTACATTTCAGCTCCTCGATAACATTCCAATTTAGAACTTATTAAGTGCTACTAGTAGATTAAGTAACTGTACAGTATAAATCAGAAGATATCCGAAGTAAGTATCCTAAGAATGTGGAATTAAGCGTCCTACTAAACCAGTAATTTTAAAATAGGTTTCAATATTCCTTTTTCCATTGATTAGTTAGCGGCCATCTGTAATGTTTATAACTGAGTTACGTTGGAAACAACAGTATAAATAGTGTGACTGATTTATTTATTATTTATTTGAACATATAAATATTGATACAAAGGGGCACCAGATACATATGTGCCGCATAAATCTTATTTGATTTGTGTGAGGGCTGTGATACTGCCCGGGTGGTTTACTCAGGGGGTCACACCCGGAGCCTTTGATCTAAAAGTCTGATCCATAAGACAGTGGAGCAACGTAAAGAGATGTAGTCCCACGGAAGCCGGTGACTAACAATTGGTTCATACACCATCCGTCCCCGCAGGATACTGGAGGACTTTCCGTGTCCACCAATCCGGTTAAAGAGCCGGACATTCGATTTTCCTCCTCTCAATTTCGTAAACAACAGTAATGCCACGAAAAGGCAGTGAGTAGGATCTCCCTGGCAGAGGCTATATATTCGCGTGGCCATGTGAGAGCATTTCGTGAGGGAGAGCGGACTCTCCACACTCTCGGCCGTGCCAGGGCATTTGAGGGCTAATTTAAGAGTGCTTTAGGACGCACGGATTTGTGGGAGTTTTTTTCATGAAATTCGGACATAACATCATGGAGACATTCTGTCGATGTTTGAGTCAGCTTTGTTAACGTCAATAGTTGAGCAACCGCTGTTCCGACTTAATACTGCTTTGGATTGTGTTGTGCCAATTCGACCACTCATGTTCTTTTGGAGGTCGGTCAGACAGGCAAGTTTATTAATAAACAATGGAATGAATTTAGTTTATTGTTTTATGTTTTTTGGTGCACTAAGCGTCTCACAACTTACTGACGTAAGTTGACTGAAATCCCTTACCAGTTCGTTTAAATAACTTATCTAGTATTTCTTTTATATTTTTGGTACAAATCGTTAACTATGTAAATTTAATAAGAAGCGTCGTTTTCTATATAGTTCTGGAGACTGATTTCCCTAGTTTCGTTCTGTCATGAATTTTTTAGATATGTAAATTTAAAATGGAAATACTTTCAAATCGTTAAATACACTCACTTGAAATGAATCGTCTTAGTACACCAGACTTTCTTAAGATATTTCAATGAATCGTTTAGTATAAAATATTCAGGAAACTGCTACCATGTTATACTCTCTACCTAGTCTAGGTCATAACGTCAATGTATGAGGTAATAAGGTACCGTTAGGTCTACGTGGTTTCTCTCCGACTAGGTAAAGTATATCTACACCATCAGTTATTTACAATGTAAAAAAACACGAGGAACTATCGACGTTATCACATTTCATCCCGCAAATCTTTGAATACTTTATATTAAGTGAATATTTAAAAAGGAAATAAAAACTATGTGAATAAAATGTGGGAAGGAGAAACAAACGAAATACGTTCACCAACAAATGACAGTTATCAAGAAAATTAAATTACTCGTTTAGTGTTAGTGTATACAACTAAGTATATGATGTCATTTCTAATGATTACTGTTTTTACTTACTTTGATATGTACAAATATAGTGTGGAATAGTCAACACATATTTAATAACTATTACAAGTGTCTAAGCCTGTTTTATCGAGTAAAGATATAAAACTTATCGAATTTAAGTTTATACACATTACTTAAGGTAAGACTTGAGAATTATTTGTTCGAAACAAGTGCAAAGACTTATGATTCTCACATACAAAGTACAGGAAAGTTATCATCTTACAATGACCTAAAATATCAATAAATAGCTCCCTTGTTCAGTCCAAATAGTTACCATGTTAAGTCCATAAAGGTGTATTGTTGCTGGAAACTAAAATTGTTTTGAAGCAAACTCGTTTGAATATTCCACAACACAGATATAACTTGACAGTCTTTTACCAGTCATTGAAATATTTATTATTTTTGCATGAGTATCATGGAATGAACTTGTTATATGACTTAAGTGTGGTTCCACATAACACCATTAGCATACTAACTAAAGCCATCTAGACAGCATTAAATAATTTACACTATATTGGAAACCACTTCAGAACTAACGAGTTTTCTTACAAAAGTTCACCAAACAACACTAATTTAAGATACGAAACGATGGGCTTTTACTATCATTCATAATTTGGTTGTATGCTAACGTAGCTTTCAAGCTTTTGTATAAAAAAAAGAAACCTTGTCTAGATTCTACGCTTGTTTCGTCGTTAATTACCATGGGTGGATTTCATTTTCAAAAATACGTTCATTTTGTGTACTTACTGAATCGCTGACCCGATTTTATTCTTGCTATTCTCTCCCAGAATCTCACACTACTCCGCATACAACGCACATTTAGGTCAGTCTTAAACCTACCAAAGGCTGAACATTGCACTTTTCGATAACAGTATCACCAGCGTTAGGATGTTGATGAACAAGGCATCTAACACGTTTCCTGCTTCACTGGCTTTGTCCCCACTATGCTTGAGCTTGTACTATAAAATCAAATTATAGTTTAATATGATTTGTTTCAAGCTAAGCCTATCAATTAAAACTAGGGCACGAACGTGACCATTGTATACAGAGGTGATCAAATCCACAAGATAGATGGTTTAGTGATGACTAAGAAAGTATTATGGATCATCTCGTTCATTTAGATTCACCTGTAAATATAAAATTTAAGATTTCTCACCTTACAGTATATTGATATGCTGTCCATATACTAGATTATCTCTAAACAAGCCAGAAATTGTTAAATTGATATCATCATGACAAGATAGTGGAATACACCTTGATTGTGACACTACAAAGGTTTTCAAGTTAACGACACCAAGATGCTTAAGTGAAATTAGGACACGCCCATTCAGCCTAACAATGAGATTTCTATATGCCTAAATGTAAGACACATGCATAAATCTTATAGAATCACTACTTGTCCAGACAGACCTAGAAAACATCCACCTCATAACTGTATGACCTTAACATTTACTGTTTTGTTTAAAAGCGATATCTTGACTCATTTCTTCAAGTGGTCTATCCTGGGGCTTCGCTTTATCTATAACTTTTTTTTCGAACCCATAATAATCATTTAAATAAAGTTGATTAACCGTTTGAAAATAACCAACGGTAACAGCACTTATCATGTTAATGCTGTCCAAAGACCGAATATCTAAGTCAAACACTTTGACTAATATTGCCCTGACAGATCTAACTTAACACAATCTTACTCAATAGTAATATAGATGAATTTGCAAATATACTTGTGTGATTATTCCTTTGCTGGCAAATTTTAGTAACCGTAATCTCAAAAACATTGAAGAAATCAATGAGATAAGTTACTAATTTCCTATAGATAGACCTGTGAAATCTATTAAACATTGACGTTTATTTCATCCCACGTAATATTTATTGGGAACGTAAATAAGAGTAAAGGACAAAACATTTAGTAAAATAACAAGGATTCATCTTGTTCTATCTTATCTTCGATGTTCGCGTACTACCGTTTATACTATGCAAA